TTAAATTATATATATTTTATTATATTTTAATTTCTCCTCATCTTAATTAGACTTAGACCCACTGTGCTGCATTTGCAGCTGTGAAAGCTGGACCAAAGATCTACGTACTCAGCCTCCAGTTTGCATTGACACACGAAGCTGTGAGGTTATCTCTGCTATAAACTTTCTCATCCGATTCTTCTATCTTAAATAATGGAGAATTCCTATTGGCGCAACAAGGTGGCGGTGGTTACTGGCGCCTCCGTAGGAATAGGAGCCTGCACAGCCCTGGAATTGGCCAATTCTGGCATGATAGTTGTGGGTCTAGCACGCCGAGTGGAGCTCATTGAGGTAAAGACTGACTCGTTACTCAATATTCACAAACCACTGGAAAAACTCTATAAAAACAGACCCTCAAGGACCAAGTGATTGGAGAGGGCAAGATATTTGCCCGGCAATGTGACCTCAGCGATGAGGAGCAGTTAACCAGTGCCTTTAGCTGGATTCGTGAAAAGTTTCAGGCCATCCATGTCCTGGTCTGCAACGCAGGCATCCTGAAGGCCAACTTCCTGAGCGGTATGGTATAGAAAAGGGAGAAAAAGATACATTTTTCTGAGGTTCCTCTTTTTTATGGATCCAGAGTCACCCACCAAGGACATTAAGGAGCTGTTCGACACGAATGTGGTGGCCACCGCCTGCTGCCTGCGGGAGGCGCTCAAGCACATGGCTGCGGTCAATGTTCGCGGTCACATTGTGGTCATGAACAGGTGAGTATATACCTCAGATAACCCGTATAGCATTGAAACGGGAATGTCAGAGCGGAAATCCGTTTAAATATTTTAAAACAATGTTAATTCGTACAATAATTCGGAAAGAAATGCGCAAAACAAATCAGTAAATAACATGTTGCGAAGAAATTTACGAAATTTATATCATATTTTAATGGATTTAAACAATTTAACAAGTTCAGAACACAATACACAAGTATCTTTAATATAATCCTGTTAAACTTAAGCTCCTTTCAGATTTCAACACTTTGAGGAATAGATTTAATTTTCCCTTAAGGGATACTAGGACTGAAAGTGTTGAAGGGATATCATCTCAATTGAAAGCTGTACAGGAAAGGAGTGTCTATTGACTCGAGACAATTAGATATAGCTACAAAATTAGCACAACTACTGCCGGGCGCACAAACATTGCTTGTCGATCGATGCTCGTAATTGTTATCATTTTGGGAGCGCTGTTTGCACAGCTAAAATGGGAAAATTGGGCTTAAACAGAAATTAGTGCAGGGCACACACACACACACCCAGCGAGATAGAGTTCGAGGTAAATCATTTTGCATTGCCTAGCGTATTTGCTTTATAGTTTTGCTTGTGCTGGGCAAACAAACTGACCAAAAGCTGCTGCCTTGAGTGCCAAAATATTTGCCGAATTATACACATATACATATACCGTAGAAGTGGCGGGGGATGCGGTAGGGTGGCTTAGGGGGGTGCATCCAATCGGGGCTTAATGAAAGTGCAAACAATGCCGGCCCAGTCAATAGGCCCGTGTGCCCGTGTTCAGTGTTGGTCAACGCGTTGCATATTGCATGAAACGCACAAAGGATACGCACAAAGGGGTCTGGTCTGGTCTGGCCTGGTCTGGGGCCAGGGGGTGGGAGTGGCGGGCGCGTTATTTAAATTAAATTAAAAGCCATGCGGCAAACAAACAGAACAACAGCACCAACATTTATTGATATTTAAATGCAGAAAAGCAGGAGGGCAGAAGGTGCTTGCTCCGTGTTGCGGTGTGGGCGGTGCATTAAAAGCTTTGCATGGCCAATGTGTTTGCACAAACAACAACTCAATTATTCAACATAATTAAGTATTTTGCATTAAGCCGAATGCGTATTGCATTTGCATTCTGCGTGCTGCGTGCTGCGTTCTGCGTTCTGCGTGGCAGTCATCGATGTGATTTTTATTATTTCATGGATTCCAATGCGCACCGCATTTAAAATCAAAAATGTTGCGCATTAAGCCGCATGTTTGATTTGCGCTATGGCTTTAATTTCAAATTGCATTGATTTAATTTTAATGAAATTTACTTGAGTGCACACACAAGCACACCCCAGCCACACACACACACCCACACAGAGATAGCAGTTATTGGCAAAAGGCAAAATTGAATAATTGCGTATACGCGAGGCGAGGGTGGGGCACTCGTGCATGCGTCAATATCGATGCGTATGTGTGTGCCTTTTTCCTGCCGCCTGTAAAATCAGTCAGCATGCTGAAATGTTAAGGCAAACTTAACAAAGCCAACGTCAATCTTATTTATTGATTGGCTTGTAGTTTATGCAAGGATATATGCACATATGCATGGCAATTTGTTCAACAAAAAAACCAACTGGGAAAAGTTTGGCTGCGTGCAATGCAACCAGCTAGAGAATGACTCGTGTTCATAAACTTTTTAAATTTGTTTTATTTAAGTCTTATTTTTGGGTCACATATTATTTTATTCATTTATTATCCATAATGCGACGTCTTTATAGAATAATTGGCATAAATGTACGAATTTTTTAGTTAATTTCTAAACTAAAAACACAACTCTGGATACTCTAACTCTTCCATTAGGTATTGGGTTTAAATTGAAATACACTTTTCCAGTGATTTAAATGCATATATGCAATGAGAAAAGTCTGTAATTAACATGTCCAGGGGCTGCCATGGTGGCTCCTCAAGAGCGGGGGCTTACAACACGGCTTTCCCGGAGTTTAACGCATACTTACCAGGCCCTTGAGTTGCCTCCCAAACTCAGAAATTCCGCGGAAAATTGCAACATGGAAGTGCATTAAAGACACACCGTAAATATGCATTTTACCGGCATTTTATATACGCGTTTTATTCCGGCATAATGAGCAGCGGACACAAGCGTATTGTCCGCAAACGAAATGGGCAAATGCGACTTCGAACTTCGCAAACGTTAATTAATGAGAAAATGTATTTATTTGGCCGTTGCGAGGCAAAGACAATCCCGAACCGAAAACTTCGCTGAGGCGTTGCTAATGAGCGTGTGACGTTTCGGGGGGCGTGGCAGGTGGGACGGGCACGAACGCCAATATGCATTTCGCTTAATGTCAGCGCAATAATATTAAGACTTAATTAATTAAAAAATGAAAGGGTATGTGGTACCGGCACGGCCAGCATCTGCAACGGCCGCATGCAGCGTCTGCAGCTGTTTGCGTTAAATGCCAGGGGCTCCAAGCAACGCCCCGCCTACCTGAGTTCTGCAGGCGCCACCGCCTCCATTCAACTTGAGTGCACTGGGAAAATAATTGGAAAAAATATAGGGTTAACTAATGACTTTCAAAAGATGTAGAAAATGGAGCTAAATCCCAGCAAGCTAATGTTGCTAGGCAAATGTATCGAGCTGCATGTTGGGCAACATGCTGCGTCACGTCATCAAATACAAATGTTGCACTGGCTTGGCATGGATCTATTCTTACATCGCTTGATAACTCCCAATTTCATTAGACGAATTAAATACGATCAATACCAGACTATTTATTACATACCAATTTGCCCCTATACCGCAACTACTTTCCCCAAGTGTATGCGTTAAATTAAAAGAAGTTTACGCAATGTTTACACAAAATGCACAGCGACATATGCAGGCAGGTGAATAAGCAGGAGCCCGGGACAGGACATCCGCACACATTCTTTGAGGCATGCAAAGTGGTGGGCACAGGTGAGGGGGTTTGGTCGAAATTCCGTAGTCCCCGTCAGCTGCTGACCGTCATTTTCCCCGTAAGTGTTCGTCCGGCGGCAACTTGTTTTTGTCGCTGTTTTAAGTGCTTGCGAATCCGTAGTGTTGACTTTATTTACCCACACACTCCACTGTTTGTTGTCTCTCTTCCACCACCTCCATCGCCCCGTCCGCTCCGGTACAACGATGCTCCTCCGGACGTTTGACAACAGCGTGCTCGGCCATCGGATTCCGGAAGTGCCGGTGCCCTTATTCAGCGTTTATCCGGCCACGAAGCATGCAATTACGGCCCTCTGCCAAACGGTGCGCCAGGAAATACATTTTCTCAAATTAAATATTAAATTAACGGTAAGTTAAATGCAATGCATACATTGCAACCATCCCATCCCACCCCCTGCCTCTCCGGAAATTTGCAAACATGACGCGACGCGTCTGGTCTGTCGTCTGCCATTGGTAACTCTGGTGGCTCTCACTCTCCCTGTACATCTGCCTCTTCCCCAGAGCATTTGTCCGGGCATGGTGGACACGGACTTCCTCAGTGTTTACTCGCAGGCGGTGGCCGAGCTGCCCAAGCTGCAGGCGAAGGATGTGGCCAAGGCCGTACTGTATGCCCTGGACACTCCCGATGGCGTTCAGGTGGAGGACATCATCCTGCAGCAGATGCGGAAGGTCAATTAAGGCCTAGAACTAATCGATATCTAATAACACATGCGACATGTTATTAAACATACATACATACATATGTATGTATCTAAATGTATATTGTATCTAAATGTTGTTATCTTTTGTGACTTTAAAAAAGCAATACTTACCAATTTAAATATCCAGAAACAAAATAAAGTAATATTTTCATGTTATTAAAATAAAACTAGAAAAATATTTAATTTATTTTTTTATTAGAAATGCAAGGCAAAGATTGACTCAAAAGTAAATAGTAATGAAGGCCTGTTTAATTATAAATTTATAATTTTATTTATTTATAGAGACTACAATTATTAAAAACTCTTTTATTATATGCATATACTTAAATTATTTCAATAAACATTATTATGATATTAGATGTTTATAAAAAAATCTCTTAAAAGAAATAAATATTTTTAAATGTATTCACAAAATTCCCATTTGAATTGCCAATCTGGCAACCTTCTAATTGGAGTTACCAGCTGGACTTCACACCAATCGACTAGTGCTGCCACTACAAGAACGCAGCCAGAGGCCTAAAAACTAGCAGGGCTACCCAACTATCGCAGTCCGCTTGTTATTCAGCCAATACCTCGCTCTGGTCACACTGGGGCTTTTGATTAGAAAAAACTGACTAAACGTGAGGTAAAAAAGGAATTAAGTTTATAATTGACACTTACACAGCACATGCACGGTAACCAGCATCCATAAAAGACGCGACGAACCGTATGGACTTTCGACGCAACGCGGCAGCAGCGGCGAAACAACGGCAGACAATTAAACCCGACCCGAAATCCCAAAATGCGTCCACGTAGTGCAAAATCCAATTCGAAATCCCAATGCCTGCTGCGCCTTGAGAGCAAGGGTGCGGCGGCCGCGGCGTCGCCAAAAAAATAAAAACTAATAAAATAACGAGGGTGAACCTACGTTCCAAAGTGTGATTACGAAATGTGCACTAAACCAAGAGATATTATAAAGTATAATGCGTGCTACCACGTAGTTCCACACACAGACGTACACACTCGCCCCGCACACACACCATAGCTCTCTCACACACATACGAGCCCGCAATCGGACGAGGGAAAAAGAGAGAAAGAGGAAAGAAAGTGTTGCCCAGTTGACAAAGAACAGGTTTTTAACCTAATTAACCGAATAATGGGCCGAAAATGAGCCCTACGGACATTCGAGAGCGCGCGAGCGGCAGGAAGCGCTGGCCACAAGGTCCACCCGGCAGTATGTGTGTCAAGGTTCCCATCCGGAAGCGAAGCCGCCGTAGAATTGATTTCCAATAAGTCGAAGCTGTTGTTGCCGCCTCTGCTGCTTCCGCTGTTTGTTATTTTTTTGTTTAAACTGGACATTGAACTTGAGCTTCTAATTGCGCACAAATGCAGTGCCTTTCTAAATCTATATTATATTTACCAATCCCCTCTCTCAATCTTTTCCGCACAGCCGTCTAGCGCAACAGCAGCAGCTCTCTTCCCCCACAAAACACACACACTCAGCTTTTGGAGCCACCCGCAACCCGCGACCAATAACCACAAGAACCAAGCAGGATGTTCATCTGGGACTGGTTCACCGGAGTGCTGGGATACCTGGGTAAGAGTCGGGCCGAGGTCGCCTCGGAATATCTGACATTGTGCCATGGGGGAGCGTTGTTTCTTGAGCGGGTGCCAACAAAGCAACAGCAACAACCCCAGACGGCCAGACAAAAGAAACCGAAATTCGTCTGGTTCCCCACAGCGAAGGGCAAGACAATAGTTCTTTTTTCTTTTATAGGGATATACTATATATTCGGAAGATATCGAACTATATTCCCCTCATTTAATTCATTTTAAATTGTAACTGCTGTATTTGCACAGAAAAATTTGTTTCTACAGGAATTGTAATCCTCTTATGTTTCTATTTATTTTATTCAATATTTAATTGATTTATTGAATAGATTTAAAATGTAAACTGTTAAATAAATATTATTTAATATATTTAGATATTATAGGAACATTGTCATATTTCTAACCAAGATAAACTCTTGATTCTACCATTTCCACCTCTATTGTTCGTATGCTTCTTTGTCTGTGGCAACGTAAACACAATTGATCCGTCATTAGTATTGGTTTAGCTGCGTACATAATTAATATAGCGTTTCTTCGATCGTTACAGGTCTGTGGAAAAAGTCTGGCAAATTATTGTTCCTGGGCCTTGATAATGCTGGCAAAACCACACTATTGCATATGCTCAAAGATGATAAGCTGGCGCAGCATGTGCCCACACTGCATCCAAGTGAGTTTCCACACGTAGTTACGCCATGGTTCATGGTTTTATTTCACCATTTAACCCCCGCTTTTCAACTTCCAATTGCAGCATCCGAGGAGCTGTCCATCGGCAACATGCGCTTCACTACATTCGACTTGGGTGGCCACACTCAGGGTAAGTTCCGTTCTTCTCGACTTCTCCCGGAGCCGAAAAAGAATGTGCAATCAATTTTTGCACATTCCCGAACGTGCCCACTGGCTAAATATAGACCAGTCTATATCACAAGGGGCGACACATGCAAAAGTGCCAGATCCAACGACAATCAGCATGAAATATAGCGCAGCGTCTGACCCACACAACCTCAGAGCTTTACACTCTTTACACACATTTGTTGCGTTCAATCAGCGTCACACACTCGAGCGCCCATCCATGCAATGCCACGGCAGTGGTCTTCGAACTTTTTACCTGCACAACAGGTTAACACTTAGGCGAGAGAAATTCCATAAGAAACTTGGAAGTTGATAGTAATTTTCGTAGCTCTTAAAAAGCATACGTTATGTATTGAAGCCATTAACTTAATCAATCAAGTGTAGGTCTCATGTGTACCTTAGAACAATCTCTTAAAATACTATATATTTAACATAACCTCATACCAATAGATCACTAACCACTGTGCTTATATACGCGAAATGCTTATTTATGAATAATACATATATGCATGAAGGCAATCATTCTATATAGATAACAAACAAAAATAAAAGCGCAAGATGAAAAAACTTGTTCTTAGAAGGAAAACATCAGTTTTCCCACTAAAAGATGCTTATTCTATTGATTATTAACAAAGCATATTAGTAAAATAAGTAAAACATCATGAAATAACACTTCTGGCGCAAAAATTATTTATTGATAAAGAAGCACTTGCACGTTAGCTTGCGTTAATATTAGTTGAGCTCGTCATGATGACGATCGGTTTCTGTTTCGGAGCAAGCCAACCGTGATCGGAGTAAAGATGGCAACCCGAGTCAACAAATACGTCTCAGCGGCAAAAAGATATCAAAACTTAATGCCTGATAAGAATAAACAGTGGGTTTTGTGTGTTCCTAGTTGATGTTATGTAAATTCAATAGATTGTGTGCTTAAAATAGTCGAGTAGTTAGTTACCCTTAATATATATATATTTCTTAAAAATGTTTTTTTTTTTTTTTAATTAAAATTTGAGCCTCTTATGGTTGAAGACCACTTAATGTATAGTTATAAAAAACACAGTGAGAATTGACTTATAATCTACCCTCTTCCGTTTGCAGCACGACGCGTCTGGAAGGACTACTTCCCCGCCGTGGATGCCATCGTGTTCTTAATAGACGCCTGGGACCGCGGCCGCTTCCAGGAGAGCAAAAACGAACTGGATTCGCTGCTCACGGATGAGGCGCTCTCCAACTGCCCCGTGCTTATATTGGGCAACAAAATCGATAAGCCCGCCGCGGCCAGCGAAGATGAGCTGAGAAATGTGTTTGGACTGTATCAGCTGACGACCGGCAAGGTAAACAACAAGAACCTCCCTCGATTAGGACTATCTAAATGACTATCTATTATGATTATTGATCAAATAATGATTATTTTCTGTTTGATTACAGGGCAAGGTTGCTCGCGCCGATTTGCCCGGCCGCCCGTTGGAATTGTTCATGTGTTCCGTGCTGAAGCGACAGGGCTACGGCGAAGGTTTCCGTTGGTTAGCGCAGTATATCGATTAAGTCAGATTTAACAAACAACCACAACACCAACCACAATTCAACACTCAACCCAGATAACTTGGCTAAAAACAAAATGCAAATATCCACATCAGACCGCAACAAAACAGAACAGAACCGAAAGGAAATGAACATTAAAACCCAACCCAAACCGTCAGACCTTAAGCAAAACGAAGCTGCGTGCGCAATGTCTAATTTATACAAAACAATTACAAATATTTCATAATTATAATAAAAACAACAAAAGAAAAAGATGTACATCTGTAATTATACGACAGTCTGAAATCCAGCCACACCGCAAAAAAACACAACATCAAAGTGCAAAGTGCAAACAACTTTTCTATCTAGACCATCGCAGGAGAAGAGAGTGTGGATGCCAGAAGGATCGAATGAGTGCGCAGGGGAGAACTTTTAATAATAATTATGAATAACAAATTGTAGCAAATTAAAGGTGATTTATTTAAGAGCATGTGCTTTCAACGACGCTGTTCCGTAAAAAAAATGTAGTTCCCCACCTTTTATTTAACCCATTCTGAATTGTACATTTCACGATTTATTTCTGTTAGTTTTTAGTTCGGCGGCAAAAATTATATACAAACACCTTCCATGTCGAACTTTCATCCCCTTTCCGATAATGGTACATAAATTTTAATTTAGCTAAAATTGCTTAAGTTGCATGTCATGTCGATGTACTTTGTTTCTTTTTTATACAATACGAAAAACGGGAAAACCATTCATATAAAATCGAATTTTTGTTTGCAAAAAAGATTCTAAATAAAGCGGAGAAAAGTAATTTTGTAAAATACAAATGGAGAATTGTTTTTTAAAACATTTTAGATTGGGTGTATTCTGAGGATTCATGAGAAGTGGATAGATCTTACATCAGGCCGGAATCAACATTAATTTCTTTGAAAAATGTAAAGAGCAAATCGTAAATTTTTACAGACAATAAAACACAACCATCTTACAAATATATTGGATTTATTTATTGTTGCATATAATTTTTACGCTAATGAGTCATGAGTCGGAGCATCTATTGAAATCAGGGGCAGGCTTTCTTCCGTTGGGGGTAAGCACGCAATCAAAGAGCTGCAAAACATGTGTTCGTTTGCTTGTCTATGTAGAAAAATATTACAAAACTGTGTGGTGAATCGGCCAGATTTGCGGTGCCGCTGGCTGATCCTCTGATCCTAGTGCTAACTGCGCCGGCAGCGGGGCAGCCGCCGGAGCAGCATTAGCTGCCGCTGGAAGAGGCGCATGAGCAAGCCTTTGCGCTTGGCCCGCTCCCTGCATCAGGAACGCGAGGAGCCGCCCATGGAGCTGCCCCCCGCCATGCGCCGTTTTTTCTTCTTCTTGGCAGTGAGGCTCTCCTGCCCGCTGTCCGTGTTAGAATCGCCGCCCTCCCCCTCGCTCTCCGACGACGAAGAGGAACTGCTCGAGGAGGAAGAAGAGCTAGAGTTGCTGGAGCTGTCCGAAGCGAAGCCGGTGCTCTCGTTAATGTTAATACTATCGGCGATCTGGGCCAACTCCGGCCGTTGCTCGCGTAGTACGCGTAGCCACTTCCGGGACAACTTCGGCCGCCCGCGTACTGTCTTGTGCCAGACGCACGGAAAGTTCGTGTGCGAGCTAAAGTTCTGGGTAATGGCGACGGTGTCATCCAGATTGAGCACCACGTGCCACCAACCGCCGGGTACAAATACCGTCTCGCCCTCGCCTTGCAGGACCTCGATGGGCCGGTACTGCTCCGGCCAGGAAGGAAGTTTGGTGCGCGGATAAATGGTGCTGAACCAGGTAATGGCCTCGTCGCGCTGCTTGCCACCCATCGCACTGGTCACCTTCAGCATCTCCTTGGGCGTTTGCGTGGGGAACATACACCACCGCTTATGGCCGCGGATGAGCGTGTTCCATGCGCTTGTGCCCAGAGGGTCGATGTGAATGCCGGTGCCGGACCGGGCTGGTCCCATTACGAACCAGCGGTACGGCGGACGACGGCTCTCGCCGCAGAATTGGAAGAGGTCGTCCCGGAAGTACTTTGGCACCACGTAGTCGTCCAGCAGCTTGCGCCGGCGGTGGTGCTCGCCGAAGCTGCTATCGAAGATGTACAGCGGGCTATCGTCACGAGTGCCCTGCATGTATTCCACGTAGTACTTCATCTTCATCTTCACCGAGTAGCCTTCGTTGTCCTCGCCGCACTTGAACTTCTGATTCCGGTACTTCTTGGCCAGTCGGGCCAGGGTCCACTTTTCCAGGGCTAGCCAGCCGTCGGTGCAGCCGCGGATGACCACCGGCTTGTAGGGACGCTCGAAACGTTCAATGAACTCCTCGCACGGCACCTCCGACTCTTCGATGCGCTCCAGGTTGTCTGTGAAATCCCAGAATGGCTCAAAGTTCTCGCAGTACCGCATCGCGGACCACGCGTTCTCGCCGTCCAACTCCGGTCGGGCCTTGCGCTTCACGTCACGGGTACGCTTGCGGGACCGCTTGGGCAGCTTAAATTCCTCACTCATCCTGGCCGTGGCGGCTAAATTGGCTAATTTTCTACGGGCTTCGGCTGCTGCGGGAAATTAAGGCAGCAAGTGGAGTACGTGAGTGCAATGTGACCAGGCTGCGCTGGCAAAATTTGGCAGTGACAGCGAGCCACTTCCCACACCGACCCAAACAGGCTAATATCAAAGACCATATCTTTTAAATGAAAGCATTTAATAATGAAATAAGAAAACTTCGAGGTGATTTTTAAATAAACCAATTTTTTTAACAATTCTTGTCCCTTGATTTTAAGCCACTGCGTGTGACCAAGTATTGTGTTCCTGAACATCTGGCAACGCCGCACTCATGTGACAGCTGTAAGTGGAGGAAAATAATGATAAGCCAAGTCGGACGAGGTACAAAATCGGAAAAGCTTCTGGAAAATCGTAGATTACTGACATTTTCCACTACCTGCAGAGCTATACAAGGTGCCGCTTCGCATTCTAGATCACCGAGTGTTCGTGAACGGCGAGATTGAGGCTTTTCTGGAGAATTTCGAGGTACGTCGCAACGACAGCGAAGTGGAGAAACTTTTCCAGGTCACCGAAACCGTGGGCTCCCTAAAGTACGATCTCTCCGAGCGCTGCATTGCATCCGGCAACCAGAACCTGACCCAACTGGGCTGCGAAGTGAATCATCTGCTGGACGGAGTCAACGAACTGCTGGCGAAGGCAAAGGTGGAACGCACTGTTAGTGGGTCACGGTAATCTCACCCCTTTATCATTGATTAATCGAGTTTTATTTAAATTTCCAGGCCAGCACCCAGCTGGAGGAAGCACGACGAGCACGTGAGCAGCGCCGGGCGGAGTTTCTTACCAATTTAGAGCACGGCTATCGCCGCATCGAAAACTCATTCGAGGAGAAGGAGGAGGAAATCGCAGAGCTCTACTCGGACCTGCAGCTTAAATTGAACATTGCCAAGTAGTCATGCTCAAGTCGACGATCGTGGACACCAGGGTGCGCCTGGTGCCCTCTGAGAAAGTCCTGACCTTTTTGGACGCCCAGAAGGAGCACTTTGAGCAAGTGCCCGAAAATGTGGCAAGGCTGATGAAGCTCAAGGGCTATAAGCTGCCCGCCAGCACGAAAATAATCAAAGATCGGGAGGTGCCCAGCCAGCGTCCGAAGATTGACCAAGAACAACTGAAGAAACTTACTGCTGACATACCAGAAAAGACTGCTGTAGCAAAGAAGCCGGTTTCGTCCCAGGAAGACGGTGAGGATGAGGCGGAAGATGAACCACGGCCGGAGTTAAGAGACGTTTTATATCTAAGTGACCTGCACTGGCTCACTGGCGTTCTTAATGACTTACGGCGTGAGGAGCGCTCCGAGCTGTTTCTCCACGAGCTGATCGAGTCCTGTGAGCTTGTGCTGCCCGAGAATGAGCTGAAGCCGCGCAACCCTGAACTGGAAGCCCGTTGCCAAAGACTACGTGAAGAGCAGCAGAACCGGGAGTACCAGAAGATGACCAAAAACGTGGATGCTGGCTTAAAGAATTTTCCCGAAGACACAATTTCTTACCAGAGTAAGCAAAGAAAGTGCCTGCTCTCCGTGAAGTTCTTTCTGACAGGCCTTTTCTTTTTCAGTTAAGAGCATCAACAAGCAAATCATTGCCGTGGCGCAGTTCATCTTCTCCGTGGCCGCTGGCTTTACTTTCGGCTTCTTCGGGGTTAACCTAATGGTGGGCCCACTGCCATTCGGCTTTCGCATTCTCCTGGGAGTGATAGTTGCTCTCATAATAGCCCTGGCCGAAATGTACTTCTTGGCCAAGAAGCTGCACGAGTACGACGAGGTGCTTGATGCGCCCAAGCGGAAACCGCAGCCAGCCACGCCGGTGAAACGGAAGCAGATCGTCAGATCAACGCTCAAGGACGGAAGCGGCGACCAGACATTGAAGCCGCATGCAGATTAGGTACCCTGATTCTTGTATTATTTCACGTTGCAATGTTAGGTTATATAAATAGCTGTAAAAGTTTTATTCTTTCGGGACTCGGGGATTGGATTATCGTTTATATACTACGTATGCTCGTTTTTGAATATGCATGAACCCCCTACTCGTAGTGGTTCGGCTGCGGATTGGGGTTATTCCAGCCCTCGTCCACTGCGTCGGAACCGCCGCGACCCAGCCAGGCCATAAGGTAGACAAACATAACGAAGGCCAGGATACCGGCAAGCACCAAGAACCAGGTGCGGCGCCATGGCGGTCGGGAGGAGGGCGCATAGAAGCGTCGCGTCCAGCGCGAGAAGAGCTCCGCGGGCGTGCGGCGCTGATACTTGTTGTCATCCCTGTCCGTTCCGCCAATGGGCGACTGACGTGGCAGCAGCGGACGACGGCTGCTGGCTGCGGGGGAAGATATTTAAATTAAATTATTCACTCGATAGTTGCCATATCGCTACGCACCGTAGTCGCCCGCGCTAGGCGGATTAAATGCGTCCATCAGGAGCACGGAATGTGGACTCATGGCGTCGTTGCCGTTTGGCTTCGTACGCTCCCGCTCGCCACCGGAATGAATGTGGTGCACTTTGGTCATGTTGCTAACGGCCGCCTGGCTAGGCACCTTGGCCTTGAGTACCTTCAAGCTGCTGCTCTGATCCTCGGAGAGCTGTCGGGAATACTGCGTTTAAGGCGGAAAAAAGGGAAGATTGGACAAAGACTTACCAAAGCCAGGCCAAGGCCGTTGCGACCCCAATTAACCTGGGCCAGGAAGTTCTTCAGGGCCTCGGCCACCGGAGAGACCAGATTAGAGTTTGGAAAGATCTCAACGTTGCAGGCGGGGCACTGGTGACCACGCGGCGCTGTGTTGGCAGGCAGAGCAGCTTGGCGGGCGTTCAGGCAGTCCCAGTGAAATACATCTGCAATAGCGCATTAATTGGTACATTAATTTTTTGGATTGAGAAAATTATGGCAAGATTCTTACGGTAGCAGACCAGACGCACACAATCGCCCTGCTCCAGAGTGGTGCCGCACAGAGTGCAGTTGGCAATGTAGTCACTGTCCCGCAGCCACTGCAGATACGACTGGACGATGCACTGAAAGAGATACACAGAGGGATGAGCTAGGGAAAAATGGAAAATATAGGGGAAGTAGAAAATAGGATACCTTCGGGTGGGACTGCACCATGCAGTGCTCGCAAACATTGACTCTGTGTTCGAAGCAGAACTGATTGGTCACCAGCCGCTTCGGGCACTTGCACAAACCCATTTCTTTGAACTTAGAGCTCCTAAGGCGGCGGAGGAATTGCACTCGGCGCGTGTGTGGCGGCTATCGCATAGTATTACCCCCGATTAATATATTTAACTTTATTTTCGCAGTTCTTGTCGGAATTTTCGAGGTGGCATTCACAGAATCAACAGCCACGTATCTGTTCCTGCGTTCCGGGAGAACGGCAACCAGCTGATGGCAATGAAAATTGTTGCCAGACTAGGGAAAAACCGGTAAAGGTGACAAAATAATGAATGACAAATGAATCTTCCTCTTTGCCCCAAGTCATTCAGCCCGAAACGTTTGTTTTTGTTCTGTTTGGACTCGGTAAAATATTCTTTAATTTTAAATTAAAAATCTGAAGACTTCGGCACAATGGCGGCCGAGGTGTCCCAACTATTGCTGGCGGTCATCCAGGGAATTCCGTCCGGGGCCACCAACGATGACTTAACCAAGGCTATGCCTGACGTAGCTCCGGCCACGCGAGTGGAGGCTCTAAACATATTGCTGCAACAGGGCGAGATCGAGATCCTGAAGAAAGGCGAGAAGCTGGTTTACCGCGCCAAGGATCCGGAGAAGAAGAGCGCCCTCCCCAAAGATGCTGACAACGAGGAGAAGGTGGTCTACGGCATCGTGGAGGAAGGCGGCAACAAAGGAATCTGGATCCGGGATATACGCATGAAGTCCAACCTAAATATGATTCAGCTGAATAAGATCCTCAAGAATCTGGAGACGAAAAAGCTGATCAAGGCGGTCAAGTCAGTTAATGTAAGTTTAATTCAAGAAGTTGGATCTCGTGATTTTTGCTTTATGATTTTCCCTTAGGCCAGCAAAAAGAAAGTGTATATGCTTTACAACCTTGAACCAGATCTCTCCATCACGGGCGGTGCGTGGTACCAGGACCAGGACTTCGAGGTGGAATTCGTCGACGTGCTCAACCAGCAGTGCTTACGGTTCCTGCAGATGAAGCGCGACGGAGCGGAAAAGAAGCGCGAAGGTCCCCTAGCCTTCAAGCAGATGTCCTGCTGCACGGTCAACGAGGTTCACAAGTTCATCTCAGACCTGGGCATCAGCAAGGTCAACCTGGCGGAGGCCGATCTGGAGACCATCTTGAAAACCGTTGTTTACGATGGTAATGCGGAGCGGGTGCGCCAACAAGATGGATCCTTCGTCTATCGCGCGGTCAACTCTCCTTTGCCACCAACTGGCTTGGTGCAGATGCCCTGCGGCATTTGTCCCGTGATCAAGAACTGCTCCAATTGCGGAGATGTCACAGCGATAACTTGTGAATATATGCGAGATTGGTTGGATTAATAATAACTTTCTTTTTATCTTTGGTTGGCCATAATTTATTAAGTCGTTTAGACATATTGATGCAGTTTTTATGTATTTATTGATATGCTGGAAAAAGTCCATTTATTAGGAAAAGAACCGCAATTAATGAATTAAGATTATATTGAGTATGGCTGTTATTTTGATATTTCTTCATTCATATAAAAAGATTTTTTTAAATATTAAATGTGCTTCATTTCTTTTTGGTATTTTTATCTTCTGTAGAATTTAGTAGCTACCATCACAAATTTGTAGCGGCTTCTAGCTTTTTTTAAAGCTTTTCAAGCTTTTTTAGAACTCGAAGAGTTGGCAGCACTGGACGCAGTTCGTTTATTAAACGGCCGGTTTCTGATTGGATCGTTCGTAGCCTGTGCATTTAAATTGAAATAACTCAATTCCAAAACAGGAGAAGAAAAATCTCTGCTAGTTCACCTTAATTCTCCCAAACAGGTAAATAATAAATAATTGTAAATAAAAGCAATAATAATATAATTTGCTAATAAAATGTGAAAGTCGCGAATTGTGACGCTAATTGTTGTTGATGATGCAAGCCAATTCTCCACATTATGTAGAATTGAGTTGCCGCCTCACACACACAAACATAGGCTCTTGAATTGAATTCGCACACTCACATCGCCGCAGAAGCGTCTCGTTAGTGAAATGTGTAAAGGTGAAATAGAAGTCATTCCATACGGAGCTTCAAGTAAGAAACCCATACCAACGCACCTCGTAAAACACGCCATTGGAAAATGCAACAATAATTATCTCGAAGCTGTCCAATTGCTGCTGTAAACCGCCAATGCTTATCGCAATTGTTTAATTGGCCCTGCGATTGGTGACGCCTCAAATGGGAGCAGCGATGAGTAATTCGCATAAATTATGTCTGTGCCGTGCCGGTTGTTTGAGTTCCAAATTTGGTGTTTTTGCTGACAAACCGGGTATTTTTCCGATAAGAATTTTTTGTGGTGTAGAAATTCCAGTAACGGTAGCAACGTCCTTTTCGGTGCAAGTTCAAGGGCAAATGTGGTACATACATTGTGGATATACATATGTACATATCTATGTGCTGGAAAAGCACTTTCACTTTTAAGAACTTTTCTCTCTTGCGTTTTCCAACCACGAAAGCTGCGAGCCGAAAAGCTCAAGCGGCACGCTTTTTGCGCGTGTCCCTCACGATAAGAGAAATTATCGAAGAGAGCGATAAGGAAAAGCGCTATCGCGGCCAATACAAATGCAAATATAATGCTCACGCACTTGCATAATGGGTGTGCGAGCGAGACGGGGGACGTTTTGTGGAGCAGATTTGTCAAGGTCAGCGGAGTGGGACTGGGACAGTGCTCGTTTTTTTCAGCTGATAAGCGACATCTCGATCGGAACGAAACAGCTGATGATCGGCTTTTTGTTTACCACGCACACACACACGCACGCATCACATGCACGTATCATATTCAACCATAATTAATAAACACTCGAGGAATCGTTGAACCTCAAATGCCGGCTGGCACGAGCTTTGCACCAGTTAACAACTCCAAAGCTTCGTTCTCTTTGGATAAACTTTGGCGCACCCTCTACTCAAAGGATTAGAAGGGTGTGTTGAGTTCACAATAACTCACGAAAAAGTTAATTTTTTTTGTAAATAAAAGTGTCTCTAAATATAAAGTTAAAAGCATTTTGTTTTTTAGTAGCGGAGACGTGAAAAAAGATTTTATTAGAATCCCGACTTTAATTTTGTTAAGACTTAAATTTAAAGTTAAGTTTATTATATCAGTCATACTAAAATATAATATCGACATTATTATCTGAGCATCAAGGGAACATCTGATTTTGTTTTCAAATAATTACATTTATTCCTGACTTTTCGTCAAAAAATTCCGTTATCAGGAAAATATGCAAGGCAGTCTTAACTAAGTAGCGGGTAGTCCCCTGGTCGAATATACTCTAGAATTATACCCTTCTTTCGCTTCGTAACAATTTGCGAGAGACTGGCGCTTTAGGGGTGGCCTGTTGCTTTCCTCTCTCGCCGTCGCCGCCTCTTCCGCTTCTTAGGGTCCAACTTTCTCGCGGCTCTCGGGAGCGGGAGCAGGAGCGTCGGTTTTTCTACCTCGTGCTTTGGCCACTGCTCTCTGCTTTTCGGGCTACCGACATTCTGAGCGCTTTTTTTGCGGCTCGGGAAATTTTCCGCTGGCCAAAAAAAATCGCTGTCAGTCGAACAGCTTGCCTCGTCCTCGCCGCGTCCGCTTATCGATTTCCGGATACATTATTCGACTCGAAGCCTATATATTGCCAAAATATTGAACTCAGCTCAACGCGGCCTTGTGTGTGTTGTGCGTGTTGCGTGTGCTGCTGGAGGATATAGATATCATCGGTGTCCCGTTTCTAATCTTGCGTTCAAGAGCGTTTTCCGTTGGTTCAATACTGCCCGCTTGAAAGGCAACAAAATGGTGAACGTAACCATCTACGATGAGGCACCCAAGCTGAAGGTACGCCGTCACTCATAACTGGTCCATAAAGATATAGACAATCAGTTGGCTGACGGAGCCCAGTCCAGAAGTTATCCGATATCAGACCCAGACTCACTTGACGAAAATTCGGCATTATGCAACTGCAGCTGCGAAAGTTCTGCCAATGCCGCTGCCGCTGTCTCCTTCTCTCGGTCGCGGTCGGCAGAACTGACCTTCGACGGTGCAGCGACGTCGGCGCCGATGCAAACTTTTCTTCCGCATGTCGCTCTCTCTATCTCTCTCTTGCTCTTTCTCTTACATTCTCCCCGGTCCCATGCCGGGCGGACTACCCACCCACTTTAAGTACACGCATTTTGTTTACATCACCGAAGTCTGCAACAAGAGATTTCTGGGGAAGGCAAACGGAGAGGAATTATGAAGAATAGCTTATTTTTCAATAAATAATACGTAAATAAGAGCTAAGCTTTGCATTACACTACTGTTTATACATAAGTAGTAGAGCTTGTGGATTTTATTTGGAATGTGATGTTTTTGAACTAATTGCGCTCTCGTTATGTGATATTCAAATTGATTTCATTCCCTTTCTGCGTAATTCTTAATTACTAGAACTTAGAGCTTATTTTAATGCATTTAAATTTAGTTGAAGCAAGGTAGAAAGGCTTATCCCGTATTGTTTTTTTTTGCATATTAACCTCTAATAATTATTTTAGGTTATTCTGAAAATTGGTCGTTATCAGGTTTCGTATTTATAAGTTGGGTTCTTTAATTTAAATTTGGTCGACAAATAGAATATTGATTTATATTCATAAAAATACCATAATGGGGTAAACCTTATATTCCCCTCCCTTTCCTGTTTCTATATTTCACCAGGGGGTTGTTTTATTTATCATATTTTACTGTCTACTGCAAAAAATAATAATTCCCTAAATGGTGAAATACATAAAACTGTTTACTTTTACAAACACTGTTGCCATGGAGAGTCCTCTGATTACCTGTGTCAATAGTAACTTGTTGCGTTAAGATACCACTTTAGGCTGTAATAAAACGTAAACAAAATAAATATGAATATCAATCATACAAGCTTTAAATGATGTCTCGATAAAAAATCGTTGGTAAAGGATTTTATTCCTGCGTTTAATGATTATGCTGATTTTATAAAAATAAATTTAAAACTAATTTTTTTGCTAAATAAAAAAATCACAAATGATGTAAGATTCATCCTTTTATTAAATAGTAATAAACGTGACTGCCCTCTGCTCTTTTCTCCACCCGCAGCCCAACGAAGTACCACAAAACATGGCCGCAGGAGCTGATACCCAACTGGAGCACATGTGCCGTCTGCAGTTCGACTCGCCGGTGCCCCATGTCCGCCTGTCTGGAATCGTGTGCACCATCGGACCTGCCTCGCGCAGCGTGGAGATGCTGGAGAAGATGATGGCCACCGGCATGAACATTGCCCGCATGAACTTCTCGCACGGCTCGCACGAATATCACGCCGAGACTGTTGCCAATGTCCGCCAGGCGGTGAAGAACTACTCGGCCAAGCTAGGCTACGAGCACCCCGTCGCCATTGCTTTGGACACCAAGGGTCCCGAGATCCGTACCGGCCTGATTGGTGGCAGCGGCACCGCCGAGATTGAACTCAAGAAGGGCGAGACCATCAAGCTTTCCACCAACAAGGATTACCTGGAGAAGGGCTCCCTGGAGATTGTCTACGTGGACTACGAGAATATCGTGAACGTGGTGAAGCCCGGCAACCGTGTCTTCGTCGATGACGGTCTCATTTCGCTGGTGGTGCGTGAGGTGTCCAAAGACACGATCACCTGCGAGGTGGAGAACGGCGGTTCTCTGGGATCCCGCAAGGGCGTCAACTTGCCCGGCGTGCCCGTCGATCTGCCCGCTGTGTCCGAGAAGGACAAGAGCGATTTGCAGTTCGGCGTCGAGCAAGATGTGGACATGGTCTTCGCCTCGTTCATCCGCAACGCCGCCGCTCTGACCGAGATCCGCAAGGTGCTCGGCGAGAAGGGCAAGAACATCAAGATCATCTCAAAGATCGAGAACCAGCAGGGCATGCACAACCTGGACGAGATCATCGAGGCAGGCGATGGCATTATGGTGGCTCGTGGTGATCTGGGTATTGAGATTCCCGCCGAGAAGGTCTTCCTCGCCCAAAAGGCAATGATCGCTCGGTGCAACAAGGCTGGCAAGCCGGTAATCTGCGCCACTCAGATGCTGGAGTCAATGGTGAAGAAGCCACGTCCCACTCGCGCCGAGATCTCTGACGTTGCAAACGCGGTGCTTGATGGCGCCGACTGCGTCATGTTGTCCGGTGAGACCGCCAAGGGCGAATACCCGCTGGAGTGCGTCCTTACCATGGCCAAGACCTGCAAGGAGGCTGAGGCCGCTCTTTGGCACCAGAACCTGTTCAACGACCTGGTCAAGAGCGCCGGCCCCATTGATCCTGCCCATGCCGCTGCCATCGCTGCCGTTGAGGCCGCCACCAAGGCCAAGGCTGCCGCTATTGTGGTGATCACCACGAGCGGCAAGTCGGCCTTCCAGGTGAGCAAGTACCGCCCACGCTGCCCGATCATTGCGGTCACCCGCTTCCCCCAGACCGCCCGTCAGGCCCATCTTTACCGTGGCCTGGTGCCACTCATCTATAAGGGTAAGAGAGTCCTGTTTTTTAGCATTAATTCTAGTGTCCTAACGTTGGTATTTTGCCTTTCCAGAGCCCGCTCTAGGCGACTGGCTGAAGGATGTGGATGTGCGCGTCCAGTTCGGCGTGCAGGTGGGCAAGAAGAACGGATTCGTCAAGGCCGGCGATTCCGTCGTTGTGGTGACCGGCTGGAAGCAGGGCTCCGGCTTCACCAACACCATCCGCATTGTGTAAGCTTTGAATTCAGGGCGAACTCGTATTACAAGAAATTATTAATTATGAAATTTCTCTCAAATTGCAGCACCGTCGAATAAACTTTGCCGCTCAGGAAGTACCTTGATGCGTCGCAGCTGTCGCGGGCGTCGCGTTGATTAATGTTAATAACCAAGTTAATTTATTAATTACACAATATTCGGAATATTGGAACCAGCAGGAGGATTCTAGGCCCGCTGTCGAAGCGCCGAAGCCCATCCCGGGCCTCAAACAGACACACAAATATAATGTACCGTTGTTGAATAATATAGATTTCTTCGAAAAGATACAATTAATAAAGTCGCTATATGTATGTATGTATGGAAAATAAAGTAACTTTATTTGCATTAAATTAAATTTTTAGATTAAGCTTTAAAGCAGTCTTAGCCGCCAGCGAACATTGTAGAAATTGTATGTGAGACATTTTATGAAACCAATTTAGACTATTATTTAAAGTAAAACCCTTGATTTATACAAAATCAACTCAAATTAGGAATCCTGAAGAGAGTGTGGTCCTACCTTCTTTATTTCTTGAAATTAATTCCTATGATCACCTCAGTTATGATTTATACGTAGCTAAGAAATATTTTAGGTCTTGACTATTCGATTTGTAACTGTACTCTAAATCCGGTATCTAAATTTGGTTTTCAAAATTCAGTCCCACGTCGAAAACTTTTGCCTAAGGGCAGCCTGTTTGTCTGTGCAACCATATGTAAATTCCCTGTTGAGCCAAAAGTACCGCTGCTATGCCTCCAAAAGCAAGAAGGTATGATAAGTGCAAGGTGGAGTAAAGACAACCGGTAGTAAACCTCTTATTCTTTAGGAAACGCCCCAGTTTCGGCTGGACCGCGGACCCTTCGCCTCTCAGCTGGATTACCAGTCGCGGCTGCAGGTCGAGGCTCCCGCTATGTCGGTACCCCTGAGCGGCATTATCTGCACCATAGGTCCCTCCTCGCAACGAGCGGATGTGATCTTGGAGCTTATCCGGGCAGGAATGCGTGTGGTTCGGCTAAACTTTTCGCACGGCAGCCACGAATACCACAGCAAGACCATCCAGGAAGCGCGTAAAGCCATTGCTATGTATCAAGAGGAAACGGGATTGGCAAAGGCGGTGGCCCTGGCACTAGACACTAAGGGCCCAGAGATTCGGACTGGCAAGATATCCGGGGGCAGTGACAAAGCCGAAATCGAGCTGAAGACAGGCGATAAGGTCATTCTTAGCACGAATAAGCTACTAGAAAATAAATCCACCAAGGACAAGATCTATGTGGACTATCAGAAGTTTCCCTCCATCGTAAAGCCCGGAAACCGTGTCTTCGTTGACGACGGCCTGATCGCACTGGTGGTCAAGGAATCCAAGGGTGAAGAGGTGGTCTGCAAAGTGGAGAATGGGGGCAAGCTGGGCTCTCACAAGGGTATCAATTTGCCAGGCATTGCTGTGGATCTGCCAGCCGTAAGCGAAAGGGATAAGCAGGACCTGCAGTTCGGGGTGAAGCAGAAGGTGGACATGATCTTCGCATCGTTCATCCGCGATGCCAAAGCTGTGGCCGACATCCGGCAGGTTCTAGGACCTGCGGGTGAACGCATTAAGGTTATCTCCAAGATCGAGAACCAGCAGGGTTTGGCCAACATAGACAAAATTATTCTCGCATCGGACGGGATTTTGCTGGCTCGAGGCGATTTAGGCATCGAAATACCCATCGAGAACGTTCCGCTGGCCCAGAAATCGATCATCGCCAAGTGCAACAAAGTTGGCAAGCCGGTGATCTGTGCGACCCAGATGCTGGACTCGATGACGATTAAGCCAAGACCCAGCCGTGCCGAAGCCACAGATGTGGCCAATGCCATCTTTGACGGAGCGGATTCCGTGATGCTGTCCGCCGAAACGGCCAGTGGCAAGTTTCCGGCAGAGTGCGTGCGCGTCATGGCCAGGATCTGTGCCAAAATTGAGACGGTTTTGTGGTACGAGAGCATGCAGAACAACCTTAAGCGGGAGATCCGCATCGGTGGCGGCGACCACATTTCGGCAGTCACTACGGCGATTGCTGAGGCCGCTACCGTGAGTCAGGCCCGGGCCATAGTCGTGGCCAGTCCGTGTTCTATGGTGTCCCAGATGCTCAGTAACATGAGGCCGCCGTGCCCCATCGTGATGTTCACAGGCTGCCCATCCGATGCAGCCCAGTCGGTGCTATACCGAGGCATATATCCGTTGGTCGTAGAGGATATGGTGATGGGGAATTTAGACTTCCGGAAAGTAATGAAGTCGGGCCTAAAGCTTCTAACCAAAATGGACCTCATTGAGCCGGGCCAAAAGGGTTCGGTGGTTTTGGTCAATGCCATGTCAGCCGACAAAATCAACTTCCGGCTCTTCACAATCCAGCAGCAGACCAAGGCGGAACGGGAACAGGAGGATCGCTGTCAGAAGCTAGCCTTGGAGCAGCGCTGCAAAGAAAGGACCGAAAAAGAGGCTTGCCGCAAGTTAAAAGAAGAGGAAGATTGCAGAAAAATACTTGAGAAGGAAAAGTCTCCGCAGGCAGAACAAAACCCAAAGCTGGAAACGGATACAGAAGAATCGAAAGAAGAAAAGGAAGAGGCTGAAGAGTCAGAGAGCATGGCGGAGGAAGAGAAGAGTGAGTCAGCTGAGGAAAAGGAGCTAGAATTGAAAAGTCAGGAGCTGCAAGAAAAGGAAGAGGCTGAAGAGTCCGAGAGCATGGCGGAGGAAGAGAAGAGTGAATCAGCTGAGGAAGAGGAAAAGGAAAAGGAAAAGGAAGAGGCAGATCTCAAGGTTATTAAGGAGGAAATGGAAAAATTAGAAGCTGTCCAAAAAGCCAAGCTCGAGGAGAAAGAGGCTAAGAAGAAAGTGGAAATCGTAAAATGCAAGGAGCTGGCTAAAGAAAGGAAGAAGAAAAAGAGGAAGAGAAGTCCAAAAGACTGTCTGCGGAGGAAAAGAAAGCCGAGATGGCCGAGAAATGGAAAAAAGTGGAGGCCGAAAGGAGGGAGAAAAAAGAAGCTGCGCTGTGCAAGAAACTGAAGGAGGAACAGAAGAAATCAATGAAAGAAATGGCCGACGCGCTCGCGGAGGCGGTGTGCAAAAAGCTAAATGAAGTAACGGAAGACAACAACAAGGACAACAAGAAATAGTTTTAACGCACGTAATTTTATTTTAATATCAGTTCAGGCTACAAAATTTAATGTACATTTTAATTATCGTAAAAATTTTCAACAAAGTTAATACTAAGTTAATAAGTTAATAATTGTTGTTAAATATTTTAATTCAAATATCCAAAAAAAATGTGTGTTTTTTTGTATTCTAATATTTTTTGGTGTTTACTGGACGGTCACACTAGCTTTTTAAAAACAAAACAAAAGCACATTCCGGGCTCTTACAAAAAATTGTGAAACTAACACTCGCTCGTGCATCATTTCTTCAGAAGCTGTAACCACTAAACATAGAGAGGAGCTACAGCTATGTCACTTCCTACAACCAGAGCCACCACGGCGACGGCCACCCACGCGGTGGTCCAGGCCGTGGAGTCTTACATTCAGAACCAGAACTTACTAGGAGAACTCGCCGAGTTGGACGACATGCTCTACGACCTGGTTGACATGCACAAGGACAACGAAGTGGCCCTGAAGCGGGTTCTTCAGTGCATCCACAACCTGCTGCAAACGAACAGCAAGTGGAACGTGCGTTTTGGCCCTAAGCTGTTTCACAAGCTCGTCTCCGTGGTAATCGCGGACAGCCGAGAAGACACGGCCAGTCGCCGACAGCTCGTGGCCAACCTGCTGGTCTGCGTGCAACTGCACGCAAGGAAATTCCCGCGGATAGAGGGCAAGTTCGTCCTGCAGCAGCTCTGGTCTTTAAGCCTGAGCAATGACCACCAGCCACATGCGGCCCAGATCCTGGTCCATTTGTTCGATGAGTTCGTTCACAATTTGGGAACGGAGTGCGCACAGGAGCTGGTGGGCGTCACGCAGAATCTCTTACAGTCGCAGGTTCGCGAGGATCGTCGAGCGGCGTACTTTCTTATGCGCAAGCTTCAGGGAATCCAGGAAGTAGTGGCCGCGCTACAGTGCAGCGAGCAGCAGTGGAGCGCCTACGTTGGTATTATGGAGAATCTAGAGGAACAGCAGTCACACCTGGTTCTGCCAACGTTGAGCACTCTGCTGCCCCGCTTAGGCCTAATGGCCACCAGCCTAAGCGTGGACTGGCTGGCATGGCTGAGGATTCTGTGTGTTCGCCTCCTAGGCGACAACAACATCCTAGTGTTGCGCTGGACCCTTAAGTACTTTTTCTCGCAATCCAACCTCTCTCAGCTGGCCCGATTTAATTTGCTGCCAGAATTCCTGGCGGCCACAAATCGAACTCAATTATTTAATCCAGAGGTGCCCGACTGCCTGACGATGGAGCAAATATGCGACTTTATGAAGGGATACGAGGTGGAACCTTTGCTCCAAGCCCTCGTGGGAGTCCCCTGGCACTGTGTCCCACTAGTTTATTGGCTGAACGGCTGGCAGATGGATGTGTTGCAGGTTGTTTCCAAGGAACTGCTCCTTCAGTTGTGCGCTCGCGTTCGGGCTCTGCAAAATCCCAGTCTGCGAAGCATTGCTATCAATAATGTGATGTTTTCCTTCTCTGTGAGTAAGAATCTAACAATCAAGTTTATGATTTGTCAATTATTACAGAATTTTTACAGAACACAATAGCCAGCTTGACTGTCAGCGAGTATCTAAACTTTATTGAATCCTTGTACAATACCATCGACGATTACGCGGACCATTATCAACTACAAGACAAAATAGAAAAGTGCAGTAATTTTGAGGAGCACGTTGAGCATTTCAACAAGCGCTGCTGCGAGCTGGTCTCACGGAAGGATTATAAATACGATCTATTCGTTGCGTTCCTGTTGAAATTATGGACCGTGCCAAAGACCAAACATGGCTGGTGGCGATTCCTACCGTTTTTTCTGCATCGGGACTTGGATAATCCCGAACAATATTTGGATTTCTACCGTTCCGTATATGGCATTGACACATCACTCCTTCACAGCGGTGTGAGTTTGGAGGTACTGCAGCAGCATTTGCTCGAGCGCTTTGAGTGCCACACCAGGGAAGAAAAGTCCTTTGTGCGGGAGCACTGCGTGGATCTTTTTACCAGCATAAATCTACCGACGTGGAGTAAGCTGCAGGAGTTGGACATAAAGCCCCTGGAACTTCTGGACCAAGGCACTGACAAAACGTTTGGAATCCTAACAAATCGATTGGCCGAGCATACGCAGCCACTGCAGGATGAGAACGTTCTGCCCGCCATGATTGCTCGCTTGGGGAGATTCAAACTAGCTGAAACGTGAGTAGGATTTAACCAGGGCCAAGTTGGTCTTCTATTTACCTTTTGTTTTTTGTTCAAAAGGCAAGCCATCCTAAAATATGCGATAGCTAATGTTAGCAGAGAGGAGTACGAGAAGTGCGTTGTTGAGGTTTTGAACCGGACCACCTGCCTTTTGGGTTTCATGAACAGTTCAGACTACATCAAAGCGCCGCCATTGTTCGTCCTAAAAGGGTTGCTGGCGGGAGAAACCACGACGGGCGATGCACGGTAGGAAACCTTATCTCTCTACATTTGTGTAAGTAAAATGTTAATATATATTATTACCCGACAGCATAGAAATCGCTTGCAGCAATATCCAAGATACCAATGCCATGGCGAGAGAGGGATTTAAAGTTTATGCACTCAACTACAAGGACTTGGATGTGGCTAGTATCTGTGACAGTTTGCTAAGCATGAACAATGAACTGTCCAGGAAAAAGACTCGGTATTTTGCCAACTCCAAGGAGCACAGAAGAAAGATGCGCATTGCTAAGGCTCTGCTTGACCTAAGCGATAGGTGGACTTGGTCTGATGGGCTGTGGGAGGCGGCGTTGTGTTCCAATGATCAGCTCAATATAAGCTTCATGTACGAATATCTTGTGTCCAAAATGCTGCCCAGCATCCATCCTTTACTGGAGCAACTAAAGCTGCTGCCAAATCTTAAGCCCAGCCAACAGGTATCGCTGATCTCCGTGGTTCACATTTACTGCGTGAATCGGTGGGAAAGTCTGGACCAAAAGCAATTGTCCGGCATCTTTGCCGATCTTCTGCCACTTGCCATGGGTGCGAATTTCCAGACCCGATTGCTGGCGCAGCTGGTTTTGCATCGGCTGTCTATAATGTGCATAGAATCCTGGTAAAGTTTCCTTTCGTCCATGTGTTCCCACACCTTTAACCAGATATTTTTAAACCTCTAGCAAGGAATTGGCAATAGCAGTCGCTATGAAGAACTCAATCGAGAAGACATTGGGCGACAAGTTAAGCGAGTTCCAGAACGAAGCGAGATTTTTGCTACCGGTGTTGGCCCAAGAATGCGTAAATACTAATATTTCCAATGCCATTCTCTGGATGACGAATGCCCCTTTTGATGAAAACGTAGACTCTTGCCTTGGCTGTAGATATCACTTTAGAATAAAACTCCAGCACATTCGCGAAAGCTTCAAGGTCAAAAAGTCTTCGTTGGCGCCTGAGCTGACTTTGTCCTCGACAGCATCCAACGGAAATGTGCAAAGAAAAATGAATCCTGTAGGCGACATTTATCCAGATAGTGACTTCGTAGATGCGACTATTGCACCGCCTGATCACGAGCTCATTGTGGTAGCTTCCCTGATTGACAAGTTGCCTAATTTGGGAGGACTCGCCCGCACCTGCGAGGTCCTGGGCGTTAAGACCCTCATACTAGGCCTAAAGTCGGATGCAGAGAAAAGTGATTTTACCAACCTAAGGTAATGCATATTTACCCATTAATCCATCTTAAATTTTATCCAAAAGCATCCTTTTAGCATGACCGCTGAGAAGACCTTGGATATTTTGGAAGTGAAACCCGAGACATTGGCAGAATTTCTTATGGGAAAACAGATGGAGGGCTATAAAATCGTTGGTGCTGAGCAAACGGCACACAGCTCCAATTTCGTCGGTTTTAAGTTCCCCAAGAAGTGTATTCTTTTGCTGGGGTGAGTTTCCAACCCATATCGCTGGGAATTTCCATTAAAACTATAATTGTTATTTATTATCGTTTAGGCATGAAAAGCATGGAATACCTGCAGACCTCATTGGATTCCTGGACTATGCAGTGGAGATTCCTCAATTTGGGTTGGTACGATCTCTGAATGTGCACGTAACCGGATCGCTCTTCATTTGGGAGTATTGCAAACAGCACTTGGCCAAGGAATAATTAGCTTTTTGGCTATTTGTAGATATTTTTTTACTTGTGCCTTATATGTATCACACACATTTTATGTTTTATTATAAAAAATAATTTATACGTAATACAAATTTGTATTTAAATATACCGCTAAATTATCGATAGCCCATCGACCGACATTCTATCGATTTAAATATTCAAACAGCTGATCAATACAAGAATAATAATAGCCATAATAAACAAATATTGGGAAAATATTGAAACTCTGAAGAATGAGCTTCTCGGAAAACACTTCAGATTCAGACTGGTAAGCTTGCCAAACGGAGGCATTTGTGTAAATAAGCTTTAACAATGACTTTGTAGGAAAGCAGCCAGGGTGAAAGTGGAAAGGACCATCAAACAATCTGCCAAGCGGGATAAGGGCAAGGAGAAGCGGGCCCCGTCCGGCTCTGCGAAACCCAAGTACCACCAGAAATTCTGCGATAAGTGGCTGAAGATCTTCGAACCCTGGCTCCGACGAGCGGCCGAGGATCCCAACAAGCCCTTCTGTCGTGCCTGCCAGTGCAGCATGGACTGCAATCGGTGCCACTTGGTCAGACATGAGCGAACCACCAAGCACCAGCGCAACCTGGAGTCGCTGTTAGCTAATGGAGAGAAAGTAGTGCGCCGGGAGCTGCAGGTGCGGCAACAGCGTAGCAAGTACTACCATCAGCGCAAGATGTCCATTCAGACGAACCGACAGGAAGAGGAACTACCGCCGGAGGAAACTCCGGATACAGAAGCACCATCCGCACCGCCTGCAGATTTTCAGCCCTTGATAAATATTGTAGCCGACTGCTCCTCCTCCAGAGACCTGACTGCCACGACGAAGCAAGAAACGGTGCCCAAGAAAGAGCTTCTTTCGGAGACGGAGCCATCCATGATGGCAGATGCTGCAATCAGTATAGCAAGGCGCAATGAGTCTACTGCTTCCAACCAGGAAGGAGTCAAGCTGCTCATGCAGATCCACCAGGACAAGAACGAGCTGATGGAGTCCTTCCGCGAGCTAATGGGCAGCCAATCAACAGTGCATCTCCCGCCGCCTCCGAAAGAGAAGAACCATGTGGACCTGTTCTTCGAGAGCGTCAGTTCCAGTGTAAAGGCCTTGTCCCCAAAGCTAATAGCGGAGGCCAAGATGCGGGTTTCCCAGCTCATTTGCGAGCTGGAGCTGCGCGGCCTAAAAGAACAGTCCGACAGAAGAGCCAGCGCCAAGACACACTACGGGCCATCGGCCGCCAGGACATGTCCTAACGCAGCAGTCGCGTTTTAGTGGCGTCAGTTGAGGTCAAGGATTAAAATTATAATATTATATTAGAACTAATTTCTTGTTAATACATTTCAAAATAAATAAAAATCGATAACGGGGATATCGATAATATCGATAGTCCGCCAGCTGTCGATTACCTGTCACCACTAATGCGCGGCTAAGCGAAAAGTGCAAGAGTTTGGAAATATCATTAAAGAAGCAAAGCCGTGTAAACTAAATACAGTGCAGATGTGGACAAGTTCGAATATCTACGAGGTGAGACCCATTAAAACCTACGGAATCAAGTTGAACGAGCCTGATTACACGACAATAGAACATAACAGATAGTTTTGTTTGGGTACTTATTCTAAAATGAATACTGTGATGGTACCATTTCAGGACCACAGGAAGCCACTGCCGTACATCCGCCGCATTAGAATGTCACTGAAGCGGAACCAGCTGCGGTGCTCAAAGCCACCGCCTCAGAATCGTCAAGAACTTCTGGAGAGTATCGAACGAGACCGCGGAGTTCTGGGAGCCTATCTTCAAAAACTAAACAGCCAACAAGAGGAAATCTCTACATTTCCTGTTTCTGCGCCTCCAGCTGCACCGGCTCTATCCGCTCCCCACGCTTCTCCTGCTCTGTCCGTTCCCCACCCTCCACCTCCTATGTCCACTCTACCAGCTCCTCCTGTGCCACAGCGCTGCAGCTACGACCTTTTCTTCGAGAGCGCCTGCATCACCGTCAAGAACTTACCTCCAAAACTGGCTGCAGAGGCCAAGAGCAGAATATCCCAGATCATCACCGAATTCGAAATCCGTGCCATCGAAATGGAAGCCATGCAACAGCAGCAGCAGACGAAAGACATATTGAAAGGTGACACCCTTGAGGACGATAAGTCGAAGATAGTCTACGAATTCCATCCGTGCCCCTAAAGTAGGTTGTGAGTTTTCTGTTCAAGCAACCCAAGAGTGTGCCAGGGCACACTTACAAAACATTTTGGGAGACCTTTCCATCAAAATTAACAATAAAGTTGTAAGACTTTCAACATCTTTTATATAGTCTGGCCGTCGTTTGGTCGTGTTTCGGCCCTAAATTTCAGAAGTTCATGTACAGGGAACGATGTGGGCAAGTCTGAAAGTTTGCATCATTGGCGCTGAGGGCTGGTATGTGTCTCATTCTAGCCATGTAAATCATACATATAAATCCGTCCTGGGTTGTCTTTCAGGGGCACGGCTATTGCAGCCGCCATCAGCAAGAACGTTCAAAAATCGAATAAGGACTTCGACGAACGTGTGCATATATATGCCTACGACGACCCGATTCAAAGCAGCCTCTTATCCGAGGTGATCAATAATAGCCATGAGAATGTAAAGTATCTGCCTGGCATCAAGCTGCCCAAGAACCTGGTGAGCCGTCTTCTATTTTTTCTATACTTCTCCATTAGCATTCACCGAGGAACAAATTCTGGAAAACGCTTTTCAGAGATTTAAATAATTTAATTTCGTGTTTCGTTGCTTCCATACTCAGATTGCCGTGAATGATCTTTTGGAAGCTGCGCAGAATGCAGATATTTTGATATTCTCCATACCCCACAATTTCGTGAAATCCTACTGCAACATCCTGGCAGGTAACGTCAAAGAGACTGCCTTCGCCGTGTCCATGGTCAGGGGGTTGATGCAGGAGAGGGACGATGAGATGGTGCTCGTTTCGGACACCATCAGCGAACAGCTGGACATTCCTTGCTACTCGATGATGTCTGCCCACAGTTCAATGGAGATGGCGCAGGGGAAGCTGTGCGAGGTCACTGTGGGCTGTGATGACCCATTCCACGTCCAGCTGCTGACCGCCATTCTGCAAACGAACAATTGCCGGGTGATATCCATCGATGATGTTACTGGAGTGGAACTATGCGGTACGCTCAATGAAATCATCAGCCTGGGAGCTGGCTTCGTAGATGGCCTTCACTTAGGCGCCAATACACGCGTGGCCGCTATCCATCTGTGCGTGAAGGAGATGATGCGGTTCATTAAGACCTTTTCCCATCCACCAAAATGTCCACATTCTACGAGACCTGTGGGATCGCCAACTCCGTGGCTGCTACCTATGGTTTGTTCCCTTTCGGATTTCCATAACATTCGCTGACCCAATACTCTTGCAGTCGACAAGAATGTCAACTTTGCCCAAAGCTTTATTGCAACTGGCAAGACGTTCGAGGAGATGGAAGCGACCTTCCTGCACGGTCGAAAGTTATTGGGACCCGTTGTGGCTGCTGAAGTGAATGCCTTTCTGGAGAAAGCCCTAATGCAGCACGAGTAAGCGAAAGACATAGGTAGGAGATGCATTCTTTAGTAATCTTAAACCTCTCCCAAATCAGATTTCCGTTGTTTACGGCTATCCATCGGATATGCCAGAACGAAGCGCCTCCGGAACTAATGCTAGACGCCCTGCGAAATCATCCAGATCTCAGGTAAAACAGGAAAATAGTTGAGAGATTTAAACTCAAAGTACACAAATCCTACTTACAGCGGCTCGTCCATTACCCATTTACTGAGCAAAGAGACAGCGCCTGCACAGGAAAAGATGGATCTGACGCTGGACCAAGTGGCAAACGCTCTGCCCAAACTGAGGTCTTGTCTCGACAAGATTTTGGTCGAGGCGAACAGTCCTAATTTCAAGAATCTGAAGGTAATGGACGACTGGGCGCAGGTTGACGAGCACAAGGTAGAGCATTTTGGGCTTCAAATGTCTTCTGCGAATATCCCCATTGAAACTGGGGATGTTCCCAGTCGACTGAGTGAGGAAGCCTCCAGGATTCGGGATGAAATTCAAAAAGGGAATGTACAGGTCGGCTTCAAGATGGATGCCAGGGAAGGCGGTCGACATATCCGTCTTCTGTTACAGGAGTTGCCAGAAAAATTCAACAATAAGTCTGTGATTTCATCTGGATTAGATAAAATTGATAGTGAGTTGGGTCAAGATCACAACAACATGAATGATTCTACCGATGTTTTGGACTTGAGTAACGAAGACACCCGGGATGAAGTCAATTTGAAAGTACAAGATAATCTCATAAAATCCATTAGACAAACGATAGAGGCACTCGAAAATAAAGAGAAAATGGATAACTTTATTGCTGAAAGTCGAATAAAGGATGAGAACTCGCCCTTCGCCCGATTCCATGAGGATGAGAATAACTCTCCAGACGAAACCACTGAAATGCGGAAGGTCGAAATGAAAGCCAGAACACAGCACCAAGATTCTGATTCGGACGAGCAGAGTCTCCAGAGGGTATGGGAGAAACCTGTCGAGCTGCGCCTCCATGACGACGTAGAGGCTGCGCTGGATGAAGTATCAGTTCTTGACCAAAGTGACCACTCTTTCACCAACGAGGGAACGGAGCTCGAGGAGCTTCAACAATGGCAGAAACTGAAAACGAAAGCGGAGGGGGATTTCCCCAAGCTCTCTGAAGTGGAAGATACCGCCGCTTCGGAAGATATTGCCAAGCACGAGAAACAGCTGGATGTGGAAACGGCAGAGCTCTCAATGATAGAGAAGGACGAACAGCGACTGGTTACGGTGGGTAATCGGAAGCCAAACCAAAACCTAAGCAAGGTCAATGTCCGACACTTTAGAAACAAGAAGTCTGACGATGGTGGCCATCATGAGTGGGATTGGATGATGAACCATAAAATCGATGCCGACGAGGTCTTGGCTAACGAAAAGGATGAAATACTCAGCAAGTCGGACCAGGAAGGGCTAGAAAGGTTGAACGCTCAGCTGCAGGAAGCATTGCAGCGGGACTTGGACGTGATGTCATCCAGCCACGATGATGCCCCCAATCAGGAGTTGGGGCATGATACGGATTTGGAGACCGTAGCTAACAATAAGCGCATCACGCATGAACCTGTCATACCTTCGCCCCTGAAGTTGCCAACTCCTAAAAAGCATTACCGCGAGGGTACACCCGAGGTGCCGAATCCGCCGGGCAATATCCCTCCGCCGATGCGCGAATCTAAACCGCGCAAGCCCAGGAAAATGCAACCCCATCGCAGCATGCCGCCGGTCGAGTTTGGGGAGATGCCTGAAACACAGCAGCCGGAGATGGCCATCTCAGACAAGGCGGTACCTGAGGCTAAAAAGAGCTCTAAGGCAGAACCGCCGAACGAGTCGCCGTCGATGGGAAAAGCGATGCTACAAGGCCGCCAACAAAGAAGAGCAGGTCGGCTTCAGATCTGCCGGAGAAATCCACTACTCACTCCGACGAACGTTTTGCTACGCCCAAAAAAGACGAGAACAGGGAAGATAGAGACACCCAGAAGTCTGAGGTTAGCAGGCCTGAAAAAAGGTCGAACAGTGTCATTCGGAAGGGAAGACAACGCCAGGTTGACTATAGGGGGCAAAATCCCTTCAGCTTGGATCCGGAACTGGAATCGAAGCTTTCGATGGACACCAGCCACAATGGGGAATTGGGAAGGAATGGTTTCAGCCATCAGCGTCGTAAAGTGGTAGTGTCGCCTCCGTTTAATCCCCCCATTAATCCACGAGTGCGCGTGCCACGTCCCCCTTCGATGTTAGGGATCACGAGTACCACACGATGGTAGCGAGGCCTGCGATGAATCCCCTAGCTCCGACGATCAAGTGGCCCTCATCGCCAAAAACCCAAAAGCCCCCAATGGTGGCCGCCATCCAAGTGAAACAGCTTTCCGCCCTGCCCAGGCAAATGCCGAGCGCGTCGAGATACTGGCTGCAGATTCCGTCGGGAATGCCCCGCACGCCCACGATAACTAAGATCCTCTGCGCGCTGCAGATTGGCCTGCTAGCCTCCTACCTTGCTCGGTCCAAGATGAACTAATTTCCAGGCTCGCAACGATCTAAGCCTAGCGCCTCGATTCTCCTTAATTTATCACTTCCAGATTAGTACACTTTTTTTTATTAAAATTAAAGAAGGCTATACTTTCTACTTTGGGACTATAACCATATCACCTCCTGCAATTGCTGTTCCAGATACGGTCTCCGGTGGAAGATCGGCCTGTTTTCCTGCGACTGCAGTGGCCGGAAGTTGTTGAGCAGGGGACGCTTCCGCTGATCCCGCAGCTGCCAAAACTTGGGCAGCTCCCGGTGCGAGATCGGCAGCACATTGGCGAACACGTGCCACTGTACTGCCGGAGAGCAACGGGGCGTGGTTAGGGAGCCCTTGTATGTAAAGAAGTCTCCCCTGTCCAGCGTGCCCAGAAGCGATCCTAAGCTGAGCTGTTCCGGCAAAGTGTAGCTGCTGTTAAAGTTGCCCAAATGGAGAAGCGAGCTGAAGACTTCACTGAGGCCGGGCTGATAGAAGACCGCGCCAGTCTGAAAAAGAAAGTTATCCGTTTTCTTCTTCCTTTTCTAAGGTTTCCTTGACTCACCCGCACAACTTTAAAAAGTACTGCCAGGACGGTTATACCATCGGTGTGGGTTTCGGCCTCCCGAAGGGTTAGATACTTGTTGTTCCGGTGGACAATATGCATTTCCAGGTCATACCGACGGCCATCAAGTACATGCTCCGATCCCTTAGACTTCGGGGAGCCCCAGTGGAAGTGCACAGCCTCAGCTTCGTAGCAGTCGACCAAAAGTCCTCCTGTCACAAAGGGTCTCACTCCATAAGTCGTAGCAGGGACTTCGAACTCCACTACCGGTCGGACGATTAGGATTGTGATCATTTCTTGAAGTCATTTTAATAATTACCCGAGTGTCCGTTGTTGGTAACAGTCACAAGGCTATCAAAGAGTTCGTCGTATAATCCAAACTCCAAGGGGGGCAATGCCACCGAGAGGGCCTTGCGATTGCTAATCGCGATGGGAGACTGGTCTAAGCCGCCGCACTTGGGATAGCTGAATTTCCACTTATCGGGAGCGTCGTAGTTGAATTGTCTGTCTTCTGATCCAAAGTCTGGGAGGGATTTAAAAGAAAAATAATAACAGATTAAGTATATCCATTGTTTGGATACTCCCCGGACCACTTTGCATGCCATTTCTGCATAAAGCTTGTAAATCTCCCAAAAAAACGTTTTCCCAATTGCAGCAATTTCAAAAAAGGGATAGGATTACGTCTAAGCGAATCATAACGGCTTGATTTTGGGGCTCCAGCCGTGAGTCTTCCTTTGTTTACATTGTTCCATCCAATGGATCGCACACGCGGCTTGGATAACAATGGATGGTACTTCGACATCTACTCCGCCCCCAAGATTGACGCGCTCATTGGCTTTCATGGAGCATTTGTGGATGTAAATTTAATTATTGTTATTATTTACAAGCCACCAGGTTGTTTGCTATCCATTAGATGAACCGCGATGCGCCAGTTTTATGGGCGTTGAGTGTGACATATAAGGGTTCAGTTCAGTTCAGTACAGTTCAGTTCAGCTCATCTCGGTTGGGGATGGCTCATAAATTCTCTTATGGGCTTGGGGCTGCGCAATAGTAGACAGTGGTCATGTACTGTTTCCGGTCTAAGAGTTCCAAGATACGAGGAAATGAAGACTGGAGGCTGGATACTTAAGAGAAGAGACTGGAGAGACTGGCGGCGGCTCAATATCAAGGAGATCCACTGCCGTATTGTGTTCTTCGGACACGACACACCTCACTGGCTTGCAGACGGACGAATATTGGCGATACTCACTGGCAACAAACGGCAGAAGAAACAAAAATCGCTGGTAGAAGTCTTCAAAAGTCGGAAAATGCATTTTCCACCTGGCCACCCGCTGCACTCTGCACTCTGCACGCTGCACGCTGTTTCGTTAAATTAGTCCAAATATTTTGATTTGCGAAAAGAAACTCCGTTCCGAGCCAAAGATATCCACGCACGTTGCTCTGCAGACTGAGCCACCGCGGCTGGGGCCAAAACCTTTATACCAATGGCCCAAAAGGGCCGCCACTGTCTATGTCTGGGCCGCGGTCTCGCCGAGAGTAACTTTGTCAAACGCTCGACGGAGCAGCATTAGATGGCAATCTCGACTCGACGGGACTATACCTGGTACAAAGGCCTGAGCTCTGTTACCGAATAATAATTGCAATTGAAAAAGCTGTTTCGATGGTGACAGTCGGAGAGATTTGGGTAACTAGAGATGCCATATGTACATTAAACTCCGTGTACCATCTGGTGTTTTGAATAATTCCCATACCTTTGATCAGCGTTTTCCTATAATTTCTTACCTTGTCAGTAATTGAGTCTTAAGACCGAGACTGCAGCTTTGATAAAAATAATTGAAAAAATTCCTAACGACAGACGTATGACTCGGGTTCAAGGACAGATATAGATACATTGTATTTACTTGAGTAATACATTCTTATTTCGGATTGTTCTTCTTATATAATTGATAACTGATATATTTTAATTGTTTTTACTAGTGATGTAACATACCCAGTAGCACTTATTCAATAGAATCATTGGTTCTTAATGTTCTGTAAGGAGTCTTTTTTTTTATTACCCTAAATAAGTCATGTTTGTTTTGATCTTTTCCCATGACATCTTCTTATGATTCGAATTTTTGACAGACTTGTTGGTTAGTCCTTGGCCTGTGAATTACATTTTGGCGAACTCAGCTTGGAAAGGTAAATGCTGCAGCCTCTTGAGATCCAGTTTTTCGGCTAAACTGCCGGTTGTATTTCAGTTGCAGCTGCAAAATGCAAAGCGTTTCCTACTATTATTTACCACCTGGAATATAGAACATGGCTTTTATTTCTTGTTTAATTCGAACAGATTTCAGCTGAGTTTGTTTAACAATTTCCAGCTAAAATTAAATGCAAGCTACGCGTGACAGATGGTAAATCGTATCGGATTAAGTAAGTTTTTATTTTAATTATAAAATGTAAATACAAAAAATGTGATAATCATTTCAGGCATTAAACATATGCGGATAAATTAATATTTTGAACTGGAAATTTGCTTTGACATAACACTTACATTTATATTACTCCTAATTAGGCACTAAAACAAAACATTTTCGAGGTTAAAATAATGTAAAGTTCAACCTTGATTTTCCATGCTTGTTAGTTATTTTCTAGGTAATCTACAAGACATTAATGGTATTTTGTGGATGCTAACTACCCAAAATCGATGTAAAAACAAAATGTATCTTAATGTGCGGCTCGAAGAATACAAGTGGTGTTGAGTTGACAGTTCATTTTAACTCAGTATTATTGCACAACAACAACAGGGCAGACACAAAAATTTCAGTTAATATTGATTTTCCCCAGTCCCGATCCCAAATTGAGCGTAAAACCCCGCCATCAGCTGTTGACGGCGAAGCGTCGAAACAACTGCGACTCGATATAATTGTTTTGCCAACAAGAATCGGGCTTAGTGCGAGGTGGCATCCGAAAGATACAGGAACGGAACGGAGCGGCAGCGACAGCGACAGCATCTCGGATAGACAGGAAGAGCAGGAACTCGACGGGCGGCATGGTTTTCCTCAAGTTTCTGAAGAGCAAACTGTAACGTATCTATGCCGGGCGACAGATCGTCAGCTTAGAAGTAGCCCACGAAAAACGAGATACTAAAACATATAAACAACACAAACGTCGAGCGACACAAACAATGCGCGAATCTCAGGCGTAAGTATCGACGGCATCGGGTGTGTGGGCGGTCGGTCGGTCGGTTGGTTGTTTACGTCTAGGAAGTATCTGAATCTCGTATCTCTGGCCGATATATGAACACTTGGTAGATGCGGCGGAATGTGCGAGAGGGGCGGTCGAGGCGGGCATTAGGCGCGGACACGGCTCGACATCCGAGCCACATGCAAGAATCTGGGAACCAGACTCGTGCGCGGATTGAGATACAAACAGAGAATGGGGCGAGCAAAACACAAAACGCAAAACAACAGCCAAACAACTGAACGAAACGGAGTATCTGTGTGTGAATGAGATTGAGTGGCTCTCGGCGGAGCAGTGGTGTGTGTGTGTGTGATTATGCTGCCGTCTGGACATCAGATAATGCGAATTATATTTTGTTTTGTCCCGTCATGTTGGTAGAGCGCGCGCGCTTTTGCCTCGCCGCGCTTGTATCTATCAGATACACTACACTAGCCGAAAATATGTGAGGAATGCGCGGCGCGTTTTCTCGGTCCATTCGGAGGTTCGAGCGGGTCCACAGCTGGACCGCGCTTCAATCGCATCCGGACGGCGTCGAGGTGAGCACACACTCTCGTCCGCGTCGGCCAGTCACCGAACTCCGCCATGAGGTACCGTTGATTGCACTTTTCCACCCTCCGTCGCCCCTCGAGCTTATCTGGCGGTTAAGCCTGCCGTAAACCGCTGGATAAATAAAGCGTGTGAGAGCCGATAAACCCAAAAGAGCCACTGCATTAGAGAACGTGGAGAGTACAGTGGTTTATCGCATAAAAGTCGTACGGAAACTCTCCATTAGCCTCGAAAGAAGTTCAGGTTGAAGGGAAAGTTCTCACTAATAAAAATAACCCTTCATAGTATAATAATTTCAATTTAAAATAGGATATTATTGAACTAAAATCCCAACTAAGATTTTCCTCATTTTGCAGTTCCCAATTCATGACGAAGACGAATCGCTTGGTGGTGTTGCGGCATGGCGAAAGCACCTTCAACATAGAGAACAAGTTCTGCGGCTGGCACGATGCCCCATTGAGCGAGTTCGGTGAGATGTCGATTGTCCTCCTCCAAGTGATCTCTCCATATGTTCCACTGATCTCACTGTATCCCCTCCGTCCCCCACTAACCAGGTATCCAAGAGGCTCTGACGGTGGCCATTCCCGCCATCCTCCAGTCGCAACTGGAGTTCGATGTCGTCTACACCTCGGTGCTGAGCAGATCCCGTCAGACCGCCGAGCTGATCCTGAGCAAAATCAACTGCGCTTACGTGCCGATCAAGGAGGATTGGCGTCTGTGCGAGCGACACTATGGCAACCTGACCGGCCACCGCAAACGGGATATAGCCAATCAGTATGGGGAGGACCAGGTGCAAACATGGCGGCGGGGCTACGACGGCGTACCGCCGCCCATGGAGGAGGACAATCGCTACTACTACACCATCTGCAGCAATCCCATTTTCGACATGATTCCACCTGGTCAATTCCCGTTTTCAGAGTCCCTGCACATGTGCGTTGACCGGGTGAAACCCGTCTGGGATGAGGTCAAGCAGGAGGTGCTCAAGGGCTCTCGAGTGCTTATGTGTGTCCACGGAACAGTGGCCCGGGCTCTGGTCCAGCAAATCGAGGGTGAGTTAATGCAATATGTTGTCTATTTACTCATTTTAAAGATATACAGAATTTTTCCTTTAAATATTTAATATAAAGTATTTTCAATTTAGTTAATGTCTAGTTTAAGTCATAAATGAATCCCTAATTATCCTTTACAGGCATATCTAATGAGGCCATTGAAAAGGTCAACATTCCGAACTGCGTGCCACGCGTCTACGAGTTTGACTTAAAGTCGGGACACTTGGTTGGTGCCGCCATAAACCTGGGAGACGCGGAGTACATACGGCGGAAAACAGCCCAGGTGGCAGCCATTGGTGACTGATAGCGGGATATTCCGTTCGACTAGGATTTAATTTAGAACTATAGTGCGGTATCATCTTCCCTTGTAACAAAGTTGTATTGCCTCGTCTGGTTGAGCTCAGTGGGGCGTGACTGCTAAGGATATTGTAAGATTAATTTATTATTTACCAATCAGATATTTCTGGCCAAAAATATACAATGTATGCATATTTATATAGGTGTGTTTATTTGTAGTATTATCTTTATATAGTATAGTATACCATTTTGTCTGACTGTGACTTATGGTTCCAATAGGTAAAAGCACAGGTTTTAAGTTATCAGAGACACATATATATTTTAGGATTTTCTCCAAGCATCAATACTTAGTCTTAGATCTAGTAAATGCGATCTGTAATACTTTTTAGTTGGTGCCACAGCCATGGGCAGTCGGAGCACTCAGTAGTAGCTCGGCTCGTTGTACAGAGGCCTTAGGTTGTTGGGCAGGATATAGATGTCCTCGGGACGACCGTTGAAGACGAAGGGGCGCTTCAGGGAGGTCAGCTTGGAGTCCTGCTGGGGCACTGGCATCGACGCGAGGCCGAAGCTTTGCGGAGAGTTCCCATAACCACCGCCCGACGGCGAGGACATGGGCCTGAATGGATTGCTGGGCGTGGGAGGTCGCAATCCAAAACCACCGTTGCCCAAGCCGCCAGGTGATCCCAGTGACCCCAGCCCCTCTGTCGGGGATCCTTCGACCTGGTAGATCCCTGTTGGCTTGCCGTTGGCCAGGAAGTTCACGGGCAGATTAAACACGGATCCGTAGGCGGAGAACGACGGCATGGGCTGGTAGGTGAGGAGTGGGGAGAATCCTCCCCCAAAGGGAGCCGTGGGCATATTGGGCACGAACATGTACGGCGCTGGTGGCAGCCGGACGTAGTAAATGGGTGAATTGCGGGCGGGAGACGGATGGCTTGCGGCCGGCCGTCGCCCACCTGCCGCTCTCGACATCACCACATCCTCCAGGTCATTGTTGGCACCGGAGAATGCGGGATAGAACATATCCGGAGCCAGGTACAGGGGAAAGGGGATAAGCACCGGCTGGGCATACCCTATAAAGGGCAGCATCTTGGGCATGGCCTCGTAGGGATTCGGTGGAATGCCCTGGGCAGCGGCATATGAACTCCAGGGATAGTTGGCGGAACTGGGCAGCCTGGACTCTTGTTTAGCATCCTGCAGTAGTTGATAGGGATCGTGATCTTCCTCCTCCTCTGCCTTTAGATCTTGGTGCTCGGCCAGGCTGTCCTGGACATACTGCTGGGCATGGATCTGTTGTCCTGCCTGCTGTTGCTGCTGCTGCTGCTGATGCAGTTGGAGTACTGGCTGCCCCTGCTTCTGCTGACTCTGCTTCTTTACCAGCTGTGCCAGATTGCCTGCCATCGACTCGGCCACCAGTTGCTCCAGCAGCAGCAGGCCGAGGAAGATGCTCCACATGTGCTTGCCCATCTCCGGTAGCGGTAACTGCAATGTGATCACAGTGAATCTTCTGCTGATCTCCCGCTGACCCCAAACCAGTGAAGCTGATTTGCATGCCTCGAGCTACTTTCGCACACTCCAATTGCGCAACAAGCGGATTTTCCCCCGATGTGTAAACAACGGAAACCTGGAACTACCTCGCCTGTCTAAGATCTCTGACTAATCAGATTCTATATTAATTTTACGTTAAATAAAAAGCCTAAGTTTTATGCTCAGAATTAGTTTAACAATAAATTTTGTTGTATACTTTTATTACTATTATTATTTTATATTTGCATATTTGCAATAATTAAATAAATTGAGAAGAAAGGAAACTTTAATCAGGTTCTGCATATTTTAAAATACCCTGAATCTATTTCAGCTGTTCTTATTTTGTCGAAATTGTTTAGCCATCTTGAAGATGCATTTTAAATAGTTGATACGTTGATACGTTTATCTTAAAGATCATATTATTTTAAACGAAATAACAAATGAAATAAAAAAAACAATGATTATTTTAACGTCCTAAACAATTAGTCAATTAATTAATTTGTACCCATGTTTATATTATTCTAAATTTTCTTAAATAATTTATTTTTCAATTTCTTCATTCTAATTGCTTAATCGGATTTAATTAAATGCCCAACTTCCACACTTTGCCTGCCTAACACTGTAAGTCAAATCACTTTCTCCTTACCTTGTTCACAGCAAATAGAACTGAGATCGATGATTACTCAATGGGATTTGATTCCTAGTTCGGGATGCCAACGATTCCACTGCTCAGAAGGCGCGTTCAACTGGAAATGAGTGTGATCGCGGCTAGAATAGGCGCTTTATATATGGGACGGGCCTGACCAGAATCTGCGCATTCCCAGTGGCTCAGTGGCTCAGCGGCTCAGCGGCTGAGCGGCTCTCTGTCGACGTTGACGGCGCGCCGCGGTGGCGCTGCGCATGCGCAGAAGCTAAGTGCGCAGAGCATTCGATCGCAAGTTTGTTTGCATTTGCCAAGCTTCTTCCAAGTTCTCAGCGATCTGGGGGCCATGATTTGGTGGTTCTGTGGCAAGTGATAAATCGGCTAATTGCTGGCGGCTTAAACTCTCTGGCTTAATTAGCCTTAGCTGCGAACCCAGCAACATCTGTAAGTGGCAATATCACATTGTCGACGTGGACATGGACATGCACATGCAATTGCAATTGCTGTTGGAAATCGCGAGCAATGTTAATTACCCATGGAATACATACAAATGCCAAGGCCCAGGTAACAAGAGAGACCAAGCCGAGCCCTCCAAGCAACGCCCGCGATTATGCATTTTAATTTTTATGACAGCGCAAAAGAACGCGACGAGTCAGAGAGTCCCAGATGGAGTCGGAGATGGGCTCATTAGTCAATGATATCCGCCTGGCATTCCATCTAGCACCCAGCACCTGCTGCTCCTGCAGATCCAAAGATCTTAAGATCTCTCTTCCCAGTTGCATAATTGGGCATAATTGTGCGATTGCATCGGCGTGCCTACATATTTAGTGTGTGCATCTTTATTGTCCGCATAACGATCACCCCGTGAGTAACGCCAGTCAAGGCTACCGAGCTGCTTCCGAGAGCCATCTGTCAAACAGGTCATAATTATGGCAGACACAGCCCCACAGATGGGCCGATAAAGCCTCCTCCTGATGTCGCTGCCGGGCATTATTAATATTCTAATATGAATAATTTGTTTATTTGTCAAAGCCAGCGGCGTTGGCGCCGGCGTTGAGATTAGAGCAATAATAAATTACGCAGCTAATTAAGCGGCTGCTGCAACTGCAACTGCAACTGCAGTAGCGGCAGCATCAGCTTCAGCAGTAGCAACTGAAACTTCAGCGACATCCACGCAGATGCAAAAGATACAGATACATGCCGCAGATTGCGGCGGCTGCAAGAACAAGCGACGACAATAATGAACGGTTCGTGTTGTATGTGTGTGTATTACACCAAGCCCAAGCCCCCTAGTCCGAGCTCAAAGCCAGGCCCAGCCCGGCCAAGCCCCATGCCCCATGCCACACGTAATTAGCCTTGGAATGTCCTTGTGCACGTGACTAGCCCCGCTCCGGAGTCGCGAGGATCGCAGATCGGCGACCAAAAGGGGCAGGAGTCGCCCTGGTGTGGGGCTAAATATAAAACGCGCGTGCCTGCGGATCATCAAACTTGGCCACGTTAGGTGACAACGCGGCCGCTACACTGCCAAAAAATTATATTTAAATCAAGTTAATGTTGATGTTACATTTACTAATTATTTGGTATTTACTATAATTTTATCAAAGAATTTGTGTGTGTTTTTAAAATTAATCTTGAAAAGGAAAAGGAGCATAGTGAATTATTCAATTTAATGCTTGCCCCTCTATTATCTCAGTGTTGGATCGGCGGTGCTATCTTCGTATCGGCATTCGGAACGTAAACAACTAACAGCTATCAGACTACAAGGGTTCATTAACACCAACTGACAGCCTGGACACAAACATGGCCCAAACAAAATGCCGCAGTTGCTGCTACTACTTGAACGGATGCTGGGCTAGGTTATAGCTGGTGCTTATGGCCATTACTACTAACTTACTCGTATTTAAAAGCCAGAAGCAGAAGCTCTGGTATTAAATCATCAGCATGATCAGCATCATCGTCATAGCTCGGCCCCCGACACACTTGCTCGAGCATGGCCCATCTAAAGTAAACCACTTTTGTTTTTTACACCAAAAGAGATGGAGATATAAAAAGAAATCGAAGCCAAGACAGAAGATCAACAGGGAACTGGGTCACAAGCAGCACGACCGCCACCGCCGGCCAAGAATCTGAATTATTGAGAATCGAACGAACCCCTCAGGAAGTCGCCCTCCTCCAGACCGGCTAAGTACACAAATTACTCCGCGAATATTAGAACTGAACGCGCCATGCTTGAAGCAGCCTCAAATACCCTCTCTCCAAGCATTTGCAAAACCCTAAGCTTCAGTTAAGGTATCGCCCCCACGCTTGCCGCCGCACTTAGCTACTTTCTTTAACTGCAAACAACTGAAGAACCCATGCAAACACGCAAATCTTCAAAAGCTTAATTGTTGAGCCTGCAATTTATTTATTGCCAATTCCATTGACACAATTAACGAACAAACAAATCAGTGAATACTTCCGTACAGTGTGCTTGCGTTGAATAAAATACTTGCTTATCACTATAGCATCTGAATTATCTGTCGATACTCCAATTAGCTTCACTTGTAGCGCTCGAAGGTTCCTCGATAAGAACCGGGACTTCGAATCTCTCTTTGCCAGAATGGGTTTTATTCAACCAGAGACCAATGACGAGGTGGCCGAGAGGTTAAGGCGTTGGACTGCTAATCCAATGTGCTCTGCACGCGTGGGTTCGAATCCCATCCTCGTCGAAAGTTTACATTTTTATTTATGTTTATTTTGTTATTTTTTACTTTTTATAAACATTAAGTTTGAATTAATATTTTGTATAATTTAGTTAGAGAATAAAAAACACAAAGTTATACATTTTAAGAAACTAGTTAACTTTGAGTCATATTCTTTAAAAAAAAGGATATTCCTTGAAAACAAGGATTTCTCGACGAGGATGGGATTCGAACCCACGCGTGCAGAGCACATTGGATTAGCAGTCCAACGCCTTAACCTCTCGGCCACCTCGTCCTTGTAAAATAAGTCGCTTTCGAACGTTTTTTCAAATGAGGGTTGCGAAATCTTACCCTCCAGAAGCTGTCAAGGATCTTATTTAATAAATTATTTTCCATTATTTCTATTGGCAAAGAATTAATAACTAGCCTTTAAATATGTAAGCGTAAAAGTTGTTTCCCAAATCAATTAATAATATAAATAAAAATTAAATAAGTTATTGAAATTGCTGTAATTAAACAATTTCTCATAAGAGACTAAAAAAAAATCAAAAAGTTCGTTCGACGAGGATGGGATTCGAACCCACGCGTGCAGAGCACATTGGATTAGCAGTCCAACGCCTTAACCACTCGGCCACCTCGTCCGGTGATGTGCCTTAGACAAACTCGGCACTAGTTATCAACGAATCCAACTTGCACATTCTTATCGACAGCAAGCAGTGGCACAGGCATTAGAACATAGTTGAAATGTTACTTAAACAATATATTTTAGTTATAATTGAAAAAGGTATTTGGAAAAAACTTGAAAATATGACTAAGTAATTTAATATTGCAATATTAATATTTACAAATTAAGGTTAGTATATTTGAGATTAAATACTGATTACAGCATATTTTTATTGGCATCAAGCAGTTGTAGCTGGAGTTAGAACCATAATTTGGGTATGTATTCAACTGTAATAAAAATAATTAAATATATAATAAAACCTTTAAACATTTGCATCTACATAAATAAGAATTTTATTAAGATCGTTTTTCGGCAGTTTTAAATTAATAGCTTAGAACCTACTGCTGTGTCGCACTGCTTGCTAACATAGCAAGCGGTGCAGGAATGCAGCATTTGGCTCCCAAGGCCGCATATGACGAGGTGGCCGAGAGGTTAAGGCGTTGGACTGCTAATCCAATGTGCTCTGCACGCGTGGGTTCGAATCCCATCCTCGTCGTGTTTCATTTTTTTGATACGTTTAAATTTTTCAAGCTATTTTAGCCTTTTTCTCCTACTGCCAACTAAAAATAGACACTATTCTTCTTGGCAGAGCGACAATAATGCTCTGGAAACCGTGATGCTAATCGCATTTCATTGAAATTAAACTTTTACGGCCTCGCCTGCAGACGGACTATACGAACTTTAGTCGTAATGGTCAGTTTGGGCAGTATAAACGCAATGAAAATAGATACATTGATAACAGCGTAAGTGTCGCCATTGGAAGATCTCTGGCCCGGCGATAAGATGGGATGTGTGGAGGATGCTGGGACTAGATGGATTCCCCGGAACCCCAGGTTTATTGACACCGGCGATGCCACTGAAAGGGCATGCCAGAGTGTGACTGCGGAGGCCTTTAATGGCTCGTTTCAGCTCCCAAGGTCGGCCAGGTTGGGATTGACCGTGGGTCGAGTAAACACACTTTTTTTGCAAACCATTGGGGCCGCGGGCAGCACCGCATTCAGGCCAGCGATAAAGATGGCAAATATTTATGAACAATGCCCACTCACGAAATTAAATTCCAATTGAAATAATAGTTCGCTATTGCTGCCTCTGGTGCGCAGCCGAAACAATATAAGCCAACGAGTAATTAACGTCGTTTCCAATGATTTTTCTTTTTCTTTTGCTGTCGTTTTGCTGGCTAATTAATGCGTTTAACGCAATTACAATACAAACATCGGTCTATATGGTCGTATACTATAGCGTCTGCTTTTCCTTTTTACTGGCCAACTGGTTTCCAATTACTAAAACTAACTTCTCGATCATTAATGGAAAAGCCAAAGAATTTTTTCGCCACTTGACGGGCGGCGACGACGTGTTAAAATCCTCCAGCCAATGGAAAAGGCCATAAAGCTATCATTAACCAACATCTATCTGTATATCAATCCATCGTTTGCTCTGATTGTTGGTTGGTGGAAAGTTTTGCGGGTCGACTTTATGGTGGTTATAAATCAGAGGCTCGATATCCAGCTTCACATGGATTAAGGATAATGCATAACGGATAATCCGATCAATAAAGTCTGAAAATGTCATATTCTAATCGAAATTAAACACAAAATCCAATTTCCATGTAAAAGTTGGAGCTGCTATGACATAACTGGTTCACTTAGAACACGACGTGAGACAATGACTCTCAGAATAAGGGGGATTCCCCTCAACTGTCACTGTGATAACTCTCTTATTTACCCAACCACTCACTCTTTTCTTCTTCGGCTGGACGAACAGCCCGAAGAGCTCTTTCTCCGAAGCACTCCATAGCCTGGTTATGACTCAATAGACCCACTCGATGAGTAGCCAGTCCAATTCACAGCCAATCGCCCCCGTTCGGTGGCGGCGGAGGCCAAGCTTCGATGGCCAGTGCGCTCCGCCCAGTTGAACCTGCTCCCTGCCCCCGGGGACTTTCACAATTCCCGCGAAGAATTCGCTAAACGTTTTGGAACGGATGAGCAAATATTGAATTTTTGCGGCTGACAATCTACCGATGGTCGGTGGCCGCTAGCTGGTCTTTTCCTTTCGTTACACTTTTCCTTTGTGTGCTCCACAAATATTTGACTTTCGATGAAAGTCTCGAGCGGCAGACGTGGAGGCAGCCTGACCCCGATCCAGCGGGGTCCAGCTCTCAGAAATGCCAAGTGCACAAATCGGGATGGTTAACATTGCGTTGCGTAAGCCGACAACTTCATTCCACGTACCGAGTGCCAAGTATCGAGTGCATTGCCGGCAGGTGAGATGGACTGCTCCGATGGTGTCCACATGCCAAGCTACCCACCAAGCACCCCGAGCAAGTGATAAAAGCGCCAGCACAAAGGCCCAAGTGCCTGAGTCAGTTTATGGCCGGTGCGCGGGTTTAATGAACCTGCGAATTTATCGACAATAAAAGATTCGCTATAATTGGCCCATATATAACCGCTGCGATTTAAGCCGGCTGATTAGTCGTCTTAACTGTGACGTAGCGCGACTGTGAGGCTGCCCGGCTGTGGGTGTTCCCGCCATTCATCTAAATGGATCCGCCGCCGTGTTGTGTCTTTATAAGCGGCTAATTAAAACGTTCGTTGCCAATGTAAATGAAGCCTTAGACCCCAACTTCAGACGGCGTGCTGGCGAATGCTTAAAAATTCAGTAGCCAAACACGCAAGCGCCAGCAGCAGCGGCAGCCAAGAGTGTGTGTCTGTCACTCTTGGCCCGAAGACCAAGACCGAGCCAAGAGACTGGGTTTGAGACTGAAACCGAGACATTGGCACTGAGGGACTGACTCTGACACGATGGCTAAATGGGTTGGCAGTGCTACACAGGGGAAAATCATAATACTATAAGGAGGGTTCCTTATGGAGTCTGTAAAATGTGTTTATGATTGCTTTGTTGTTTCTTAAGATTTTATTTAACAAAAAAGCTACTTCAAACGGATTTGCTAGTTTTTATACAAAAAGTCGAGTACTTTTGATTAAGATTTGAGGAATATTATTTTGTCCACTTCATGTTAAGCGACAAGAATTCAATACTTAATGTACGTATGACCTAGTCTATTTGCAAATATAATATCCTTAAATCCTTTAAATAAATAAAACAGGGCCTATTGAAATTCTGAAATGTTGCCATAATTTATAAGTATTTTTTTGTGACAGTGCAGATACAGCTGTCTGTCTGGAGCCCCGTGCCAGAGCCATCTACTCGTATTGCTTCCGTCAGCATTAAACATATTACTCTTAATAATGCCTAAAACTTGGTTCGCACACACCAACGGCGCTGGAAATGAGACAGATAGAGAGATACACACGGAGGCGCTTCAGATACAGATACGGCTATATAGATGCTCGGCAGCTTGTTCGTGATTTGTGTTGTCTAATCGTTAACAATTACAATTACACCCGGCCTGGCCCGGACCGATCTGTGGCCTGATCTGCCCGTCGTTCTTGCAGCTGATGCGTGCAGTTTGGCTGTGAGAACGAGATGATACTTGCTTCTGGGAGACGGATCGAACGGATTGGGAGTCCATTTGGTCTTGGCAACATAGCTGCCATTGGCCATTTGGCACATGCGAGAGCTTACGCACTTCAACACACACTTCTGAGCCGAGGGGTGGAGGCCTAATTGCCAGCAGTTGTGCTGCCACTGCTGCTGCTGCCACGGCTAATTAATATTTAAAAGTGTCTTACAACGTCAGAAGAGTCTGAAGAAGTTGCCTAAGGCTGTGAGTGCTTTTCCAGCATTTGCTTAGCATAGCTTTGTAGTGTTATGTCATTTGCTTTGTTTAGAGCCGAATTTGGAGAGTCTGTGTGGGGTCTGGAGCTGAAGCTGGCGCTGGAGCTGGAGCTGGTGAAAGATGATGGCCGGGCCCTGGGAAAGTTTGTGTGTGGAGTGGAAATGCCTTTATATAATTGCTAGTTGCTTTTACTTGTTTTAATTAGCAGGTCGTAAAACGGTGCCTCGAAGGGAAGTGAATTAATTAAGGCACATATTCGCGTACATTTCGCCATAATTCATGACAATTTTCTCTGCGATTTATGGTGGATATTTCTAGCTCAATGGGTCACTGGTCAAGACTTTATCTTCTCCGGCGAAGCAAGGTCGAGCGGGACTCCTCTTTCAATCAACCAACACACTTACAGATACCCAATTAGCATCAACAACTCACGCAAAGGTGTTTAGAAAAGTGCCACTCGTTCCAATTAAATTATGATGAGGGCCAAAACGCAGACATCCCTTTTGAGCGCCACACGCACGTCGCTATCCACCGGCTTCGAGAGCTGCCTGGTGGCCTGTCAATAAGCCAGAACCTAACACTTTAAGTCCAAAGAAGCGGAGCAGACGAGACCCTACCTCAACGAAGGCTTCGTGTTACCGCCAACGGCTTTTGTTGTCGTAGGTTCATTTGTAACTAATTTGTGCACAATATCGGAGAGACAAAGGAGCTGGCAAACAGACGTCTCAGGGCAGACCTTGCCCCGTCCCAGAGCCAGCATCAAACCCTTAACCCTCTCGGCCCCTCAAACATTAATCAGGGCCAGAAGCAGGTCTCTTAACCTGCTGGAAGCTGCTCTTAGTTAATTGATATGTTTTAAATTTAAATAACTTTTAGCCTTTTCTCTCTTGTTGTCGAAACGAAATAGAAAATAGTTAGCATAAGCCATTTATTTATTGATTAACACAAATAATTCTGAGAATATAGCTTAAAGGAATCATAAGTCATAAGAATCTCTCAGTAAATATCGTCTCGAAAAAGGAATAAGATAACCCTAATCAAATCAACCCGGCCAATTAGTATTTAAACATGTTTTAGCCAATCAAAGAGAGTAAAGATTTAAATCTATGCAAATACATACAAATTTGATCTTTGTTTTGCCAAAGAACTAGAAGCAAGCTTTAAAAAAAATACAAAAATAAGCATAAGCTACAAAATAGTTATTTTAGTTGACACATTTTGATATGTCAGCTGGCCTTATGCAGTGGGTTAAGGAAGGTAGCTGGTTGGGCAAGGTGTAATTCAATCGAAAGCCGACTGACTGGTCATTTGGTGTTGGATTTCCTGCCCAGTTCTGGTCTCGGGGAGTCGAGAAATGCCAACTGATGAATTTGTTTAGCGAATGGCGGCGAATGGGGAGCAGGCAAATCCCACAAAGTGCAATTGCCAACTGTAACAGTAAGTGGACAAACAATAAACTGGCTAATTTATGGCCCGCTCATCATCCGAAGATCATCTGCCATCCGGCAACCAGTTGGGCATCAGCATCTCGGCATCTGCATCGGAATCGGCGCCTCCATTGGCTTGGACCTCACACAATAATAAATCCAACACCGACTCGGTGGCTGCGGCAAGTGAACGCTCGCCTCGCACTTCCAGTGGCCGGCCGCTGATGACGACAGAAGCAGCCGCAACGGCGGCAGAGGCGGTGGCAGTGGCAGCGACTGCGGCAGCGACGTCGACCGACTGATTTTTGATTTAAGAAGAAAAGGAGAAAAAAACAAATTACAAACTGTTCGCAGCTCTCATTTATTTGCCGCACTCCGAGGCGTTCACAACGTTCAAAAGTTAGCGCGCTCGAACACAAGACGTCGGCAAAGCAGTGCGAGGAAATTTAGATGCGAACGCGAAGAGTGTAGATTTAAGAAATCCATAAAAGTGATAGAACGTGCGCTTACCATTAGGCATAAATTAAATTCCATAATTTATGCAAGTATACAAACGAGCAATCATCGGGAAAAACAATCATCATCTTCGGTTGAAGGACACTTGAGCCATAAATTTACAATCAGCAACTACAATTGAAGAAACTACGCAATAAACCGGCAGCTGCAGTTGCAACCATTTAAAGTGAGTGCGATTAGCATAGAGAACCCGAGAACGTTAATTCATTTGCATTCATTAATAACTTTATAATTGTTGCCCGTCCGCATCGAGTTCGTTGCCTAAGTCTTTCGTCTGCACCGAGTTCGCCGCCCAAGTCTTCGGCCTCTCGTCTTTCACCTGCCGGCTAGCGGACAGCTGCGAGCGTGATATGATTAATCACATCCACACATCCCGCATCATCCATCGGCAGATGAGGCCTCCTATTATGCGGCGGCCCAGGCGCCGAACGAAAACGACCTTGGCAACGATGTTGATACGAGCGGCGCAGAATATACATATAAAAAATAAAAGCCTTAGATAATTGAAGTCAGTGAGTGGACAAATTAAATAAAGTTTTCAAGTTTCTGGTGCCTGAACTGTGTGAACTGCGATGAGCCATTATGCATTGTAGAGCCACCGGAGCAATTAAACTGTAATGAATCCGAGTGTGGCATTTCTGGCAAATGTATATACATATAAACATATATTTCTGACATTTCGCTTTTCGTTTTGTGTTCTATTATCACTAGAATTACCGATCATATATCATGCGGGTCCCGCGATCAGTCAACAAAGCAAATTCAAACTTTCTGCAATTTATCTCAGATAAGTTTTTTGAGTCCCCTTAGGTAATATAACTTTAACCAGAATCTAGCAACGCGTTAGGATTTACGGAACTGGTTAGTGTAAAATTAGTGTGACAAATAAAATTAATGTACATTTTATAAGTACATTACAAGAAAGAAACTATAAATTACAATATTAGTGGCCTTTAAAAGAAGGTTGAAACACTGAATACTAAGCATTCTTAAAATGTAGAAAACTTTACAGATAGTTTTTTGGTAAATCTAGCGAACTGGTCTTATATTTTGTTACCTTTTATGTTCAAGCAACATATTTTCTATTTCATTTGATATTTTTTGATGTCTCCTGCCACCCATTAAAGGGTATTACAACATCGACCTTACCTTTCATGTGTCCATTTTGTAGGGTGTAACCAAAAGGGGGCGCCACCGAACAAATCGCTGCAGGCAATTATTCCAGACACTGGAATTAGACAAATGTCTATATTGGCGAAAAAGAAAAATATGCTTAAGCGATTTGCATACCGCGGACAACCTGTTGAGACGGTGGGCGAGTCGCCAACGCCTCTAGTTAGCCCCGAAAATCATGTCGAGCCGCTTGTTCTGCACCAATCCTATGCGATCCGATCACAATCGATGTTGCGCCGGCTTTTTCGGATGTGTTGCCGCGGCGATCAATTTATTTTTACAGGCTCATTAATCACTGAAGCGTTGAAATCTGCGCCGCCAGATGGCGCTCGACGCGCTCATTAGCGTAATTGCTCTGCCTGCCGTTGCGTCGCTGTCGGCGTCGCTTTGATTAGCGTGCATTAAATGCTTTCATTTAAATCAAATCGAAACGAAAATTATCTGGGGCCCGTGTGGTGTGTGTGTGTTTGTTTGGGTGTGTGAGGGGGAACGTGAGAAACTTTACCATGTAAAGGCGAAACATTTTGCGCTTTGATGCGCACAGACAATTTATTTGTTATTAAATTATTCGGCTTTGGCATGTGACTTGCAGAAAATGGAATTGCCCATTATTATGATTATTACGAGCAGTCGGGTTCGCCACTACGGTTGCCACCCCATCGATCAAAGCCTTGAACAATTGTCCGTCGAGTGGGGCGTGGGTGGTGGCACTTCGGCACTCGACTTTCGATGCCTCTCACCTTGACTCCCTCTCACCTCTCACGCGCCGATAGCCGAATTTATAGATTGAAAAATTATCTACATTCCAGATAACTCTTCCATTGCCATTGACTGGAATTCGAGTTATTTTTAAGTGGATATAGCTATTACAATAATAGATCCTTCTTTTTTCACCAATATCTTTCATCTTATATGCAATTATATCTGCAAACAATAGAAAATCAATTTTATTGTCCATTATAATGCATTCCTATAGAATGATCATTCTGAATTTAGAAGACAAAGGGGTTGTAGACTCAAAAGAGTTGCTTATTGTTCATTTTAATTAGAAATCAAAGCCAGCTAGTTATAAATAAATCAACAATTTATCATCCAAAGTAATTACTATTCAATATAATAACCTTTATTATATATTACCCTAAAATGATCTAACGTCCGTTTTTTACTACTCCAGAATGTCTCCACTGATACCCTTGGCATCGCTACTCATTTTGGCCAATTTGGTGGCCGCTCGTCCCTATTCATATGGCCCCAGGTCAGAGGCGCCGCCCTCCAGGCTGGGCAATCGCATTGTGGTGCAGTCCCCGTCGCTGGACAACCTGTACATGGACTATGTGGTCACCTCGAAGCCACTGAACCTGCGCAAGTACAACAAGAACGGCAGTAAGACGAAAAAAACGAAAAAGGATTCGAAAATCTATTACATCCCCGTACCCCCACTGCCCTTTCGCCACATACCCGGCTTTGGTCTGGACTATCAGCCGATGAAAATCAATCCCATTCTTCCGGAAGCGGAGGCGACAACCCCACCAACGACCACGCAACGTCCGACCACATCGAAGCCTGACTGGGACCACCGGAGTCCCAGCAAGGTGCTGCGGGTGCAGCACCACAAGGACTACTACTTCAACGGTCGCCCCCATCGGCTGCAGGTGGCTCATGCCGGTCCGAAGTCCAGGCTGACGGCCTCCAACCTGAAGTCCAACTTCTACTATAACAAAAACATTATTTATTAATACGTTTAGTATAGTTTAGCGAAAGAAAATAAAAGAAAAAACAAATAAAAATTCAACAATTACATTGTTTTGGGTTTTGTAAGCCAATACTTATGAGTTAAGCTGCTTTGCAGAGGGGAAATGGCCAAACCTTTCAAGTGTATCGCGTTTCCTATGGGCCGAATTGACAAAACCCCGGAATTGGGTCAAAATCGAGCGAAAGAAATTGAGAGAAGGGGGCGCCAAGAGCTGGAAGCCATTAACTTTGATGATATCTGCATGGATCATGATATAATATTTAAGCATCATTATTAGAGAGGACGGCTTCCGCATCGGTAGCATCTGTAGCTCCAAATCATCTTCACGTGTGGCCCGGCCATCTTTCCAAGCCATTTAGTAAAAGTAATTACTGTCACCGTTGTCTCTCCGATGCCCCCGAGTTGTGCAATAAATAATAATAAATAATATGGCTATTAAATGTGGCAGATCGAAGTGGGATCATTGGAGGTGCTGAATTCAGGCCAATTAGAAAATAGTTAAGAGGTATGCAAAATATTTCGAAATGCCCAATAGAGTTGGGCAGCCTATTAGATGATGGGAAGCTTTCACCACGTGAAAATCCAGTGCGAATGCGTGAGAAAAATGAAATACATTCGAGCTATGAGAACTTAAAACGGGGGAATATATAAATTATTGTATCCATTTATTAGATTTAGTAATTAGTTGGAAATAAATAGTAAATAAAATTAGGTTTTAGCTTTATTTTACTTTAAATAATTGTACTTTCGGGATCAACTGTACTTGCACGAAAGAAATTAAGGCCAAATGGGCTGTTTTGGCCTACAACCCGTTGCCACAACAGGGCGCCTAGCAGCGGCCGTCAATTTTATTGAACAAATTCATGGGTCCCGCCCAATAGCCATCTTTTTAGACTCCGTTGTCTCAGCAGGCGGTGTTTAGCTTAAATTTTGAATTACTTTGACTAGAAACAATTGCCCCCCTCACCCGGCTGGCGATAAATATATTTTGTGTGGCAAGATGAGCGTTGAGGAGCGACCACCGGCATTTGTATGCAACGTGCAACTGAACGTGGAGCCCTGCGAGCGGCCCAAGCAGCCACCGGGATGTCCGCCGCCCATTGATTCGCGCAGCACCGAGTCCGAACAGCAGAACTCGGAGGAGTGCTGCGTTGAGCTGGAGAATGTGACGGTGAAGTTCCGGCTCTCCGACTCGGAAATGGTGGCCCAGGTGTATCCCAACTGCATGACCCTTGGTGAAGTAAAGCAAGACATGGCTCGCAAGTTTGAGGTGGACCCCAAATTGCTGGTACTCCTGCAGAATGGTAACGTGCTCTGTAACAGCTTACCCATCAACTCCACTGCCTTGGATGAGTTCGGGATCCATGAGTTCCAGCTGGAGCTGCAATGCAACGACAGCGTCCAAGGCGACAGTCAGACGTCGCTGCCCAAGCTGGACCTGGATGTCTACTATGAGTGAGTATACATTTCAGCAGGTTGTGGGATGAAACTACGGTTCTCCAAATACAGCAAACACCGCCTAGCGGACTTTATCACTGTCCACATTTCCGGCGAGGACACCCAGGATGGCGAGCCGAAGAATGTGGTGGTTGAGATCGAGAATGCGTCAATCGTCAAGCCTTTTCTGTGTGGCTACCGGGATACGGTTAGCGGAAGGGAGTATCTGGATGCTTTCACCCAGACAGGGCCCTACTTCGATAAGATGAAGTACCGGAAGTACAAGTCCAGGGATACGCAGACATGGGAGCCTAAGGAAAAGATTCTGGTAGGTCGGGCGGACAGAACCTATTTGTATTGACAATTAAAATGCATTTCTTTCCAGAACACGGCCCATGAGCAGTCGGTACAATGTTTCCTAGATGGCATCAACATTATGTATGTGTCCGCTGCGAATGACTTCACCATTGTCCCTGGAAAGTACCAGACCTTTGCCCAAAAAGAGCGGGCAGAGCGGAAGCTCGAGAAGATTCAGCTCATTCAGCGCAATTGGAGAAGATGGATTCTCTGGAAATACATACACATGAGGGCCGCAGAATATCGGTGGGTAGTCCTCCTTTTCCAGGGAATTGAGATTAGTTTCCCCCGCTGATAAGGAACCCATTTCCAGTCGCCTGGTGCAGAACCGTGAGCAGGAAGACAAGCGGTACGAGAAGTGCGTGGAGAAGCGTGTGGAACGGCACCAGGTGGTTAAGCAGTTCCCCCGCAGCAAGGACGACTTCGATCTGCTATTCGCGGAGGTGGGGCGCTGGAAGAAGGCTGAGCTGAAGCGGATTACTGCCAACTATGAAGGCCCCGCCCGCATCGCCGAGGTGAATATCCTGCTAGACAAGGAGATTCAACTGTTGAACGGTGTGGAGCGGCAACGGAATCTCGTCTACAAGTCCATGGAGGAGTTTCGCAACGATCAGCTGCTAAAGGAGATGGGTAAGCCAATTGAGTGGATCGGCTACAAGGACACGAAGATCCACCTGGACCTCTTGAGCACGCAGCGGGTGCGCTTCCTCACCGAGATCTACAAGGATATGCGTAAGCCGCGCAGCAAGGAGGACCGCCTGGACTTTATTCGCCAAGTGATGGTTGTGCTCACCGAGGAGGCGTGTTATCCAAACTTTCCCGAGGTAGGACTTTCCATTTATACTTCTTTAATAACTATAAATCGTATCTTTACATAATCCCAGCTCTTTGACTTATTTGATCGTGAGAAGAATCTGCTGCTATACGCCAAGTCCTGTGACGTGGAAATTCTGCGCAAGCGCCAGAGCATCCTCTTCTTTGACCTAATCAAGTTTCAGAAGAACAAGCCGAAGAAGAGTGAGTACTAAACCAAAGATCTGTTTCGCACATCTAAGCTGTACACTTCTAGGGACGCCCTCGCGCATGTGCATCGTCTGCAAGAAGGTCAAGACCTTTGCCGAATTCGCCATTCGTACACGTCAGAGCCATGTGGATACCTGCAAGAACTGCTATTATCTTAAGGTAGGTTGGACAGACTCCTTGTTAGTTTTTTCAATTTTCACGGTGTCCGTCGACAGCTCACGGCCACAGAGAACACTGTATACCAGTCCATCCTGCGGTGCATTCATCGGGATGAGCGCAAACGCAAATGCGCCACTTCATTCGCCTTTGTGATGCAGCCCGACGATGTGCGTCATATCATTGACAAGATTTGGCATGGACACTCGGCCCTCAGCAAGTCGGAGAATCTCAGTGAATTGAGGTAGGTTTCCAATACCAATACACTCTATTCATTCGCTTAGTTAAAAGAATTCTCTGACAGATTGCCTCGTTGGATCAAGAGTGATGACTGGGCTCCATGGAACTGTATTTGCTTGACCGAGCGGGAGACTCGGGATCACTACAAGATCGACGATATCGAAAAGCTGTACGATCCAAAGTTTATATTGCACGTCGGCAACTTGCACATGCTGGCTCGCAGCCTGTTTCATACTTTGGCTGCTGTTGCCATCGAATTCCAGGAGACGGGCCAGTGGTGGAAGGTGGGCATGAACAAGCAACGCAGCAGTCAGCTCGACACCGTTTAAAGCATATCAAAATACGTATAATCTGTCGCTTGAATTACGAGTCTGCGAGAAGTCATTGCAGCAACTAAAATCTATCCACACTCCATTTGGGTTTAGCATGTAATTCAGCGCCTAATTTTACATTTACAAAATTTAAACAATTCAAATGTTTATCAAACATTACAAGGAAAATATATAAACTACAACGGCAATTATTTGCCACTTGCAATCGCCTTGAACTTTGCCTCCAGATACTGAACGCGTTTCAGTAATTTGTCACTGGTGCTGAACTCATTATAGGGTATGGGGATAACATGGTAACCACTCTTCTCCAGCAGATCAAACGTCAGGTTCGTAACGCCGCTTGCGCTGCGATGCGTTCCGTGGCAAATGTCGTGGAAATCGATGACCATTAGCGCCACCCTAAGAACGGAAATTATGAATAAATCGGAAAACTATCGCATCTAAATTTGTAAATTTAACCTAATGGTGTTGGGATTCTCCTTATCCAGAGGCAGGGGGTTTCTGTTAGCATCAAAGTGGCATAGTGCATCTGAAATAGAGATTACTTGGTCAACACAAAATCAGTATTAATCAGTATTTTTTTACCTATGAGAAAACCCATTTTACTGTCCACTAAGCTCTGAACATGATTACTGGCCGGAAGCAGACTTTTGAGGGCATCCAGCATGCCAGTGACTAGCACCTGCTTTGCCTTGGGATGGGCCATGGGCACCTGGAAGGCAGGACTGTCGGCGGCAAGCAGTGGCCCCTTGTAATCTACGGCCAAGAGCTGCGCATAGCTGTTCAGGTTGAGTAGCCTCATCTTGGATGTTGGTGTGACACCGGCTTTGTCCTTTTGCAACTGCTCCAGGAATTCCGCACTGCGAAAAAAGTGGAAAGAAAGTTGAGTTTTGAAATGATTTCAGAGATTTCTTATTATGTGCAGACCTTAAAACCGAAGACAGGTGGCTGGGTTCCACTAGCCCCAGCATTGTGAGGGACCACACAAAGTTCAGCCATTCCGATTTCTTGGTGAAGTCCTCCCGCACAATGGATTTCACTAACTTGCTGCTAACATCTTCCAGCTGGGCGCTCTTAAAGTTCAACAGGGCCGATGTGAGGAAATAGGCGCTGAGATCTTGTGGGCGGCAGATTTCACTGTTCTTAAGCAGCCACTGCGTCAGCGATTCCAAGATGTCTAGGGAAAAAAGTTATGAATACAAACTGCATATTGTATGAGATATTTAGCTCACCCAAATCTCGGTACCGCAAAATGCCCAGGCTGGTGATTATGGACCCCACAACGGCGGACTTTTCCACGTTCTTTGGCAACGTTGCCTGCACATCCGCACACACCTTGGCGCCCAGCACCGAGTCCTGGAAGTTAAGCGTGGACATGGCATAGAGAACATCCGCCGACTGCTTCAGATCCAGTGTCTCTGCAGCGCTGCTAATGTTGAATGCGAGGGACCGCAGCAGGGGAGTACTGCGCCGCTTACGCTGGGCCAGCGTGCTCATCACCTTGACCATCTGCGGCAGACTAATGCTGGCAATCAACTTGGCCGCCTCATCATCGCCAGCTACTCCCAAGACCGTGTTCAGATCGTCCGTGCGGAAGCCAGAGATCCGTTTGACAGCTTGACTGCTGTCTCCGGAAGCTTTGCCATTGGTAGCGGCACCATTATTCTTGGGAATTGTCCGTCCCAGCATGCGACAGATGCGCAGGAACCTCGTGTCGTTCTCGAACTCTGATATCTTCACCCGGTCGACGCTGCTCCATTCGGCCAGAATGGAGACAATCCTTAGGGCATGCTTGCGAGAGAAGGCACTGTTGTTCTCGGTGATTGCAAGTAGTCCATTGACTGTCTTGGCATTCACTATGCGGTCATCTATGTTACTAGAGGCGCCCGCCTTCTTCTCATCCTTAGGGTTGTCGTTCCGCAGCGACTCGAAGGCAGCAGCGACCATTTGACCTGAGAGGAGATTCCAAATTAGACTCTTTAAATAATATAAAATATACATACATACCCTTGGGCTTTTTGGCCAACGTTTCAGATGCCGGCGTGCGTGCTTCCGGCTCAACTGCATCCGTCGCCAGGCCGTTGGTGGCCAGAGAAAAGCCTGCCGCCCGCACATTGCTGTTGTAGGCCGCCCGGCGGTACAGCTGGCTGGCAATGCTGCCGGCAAATCGTTGCAGTCCCAACATTTTCAGTCCCTCCTTCACTCACGCTGCAAGAAACCACAGAAGTTTACATAACCTTTTTGTTTACATTTTTTGCAGCCGAAATAAGGGTTCTCCAGTCATTTAAAGGCATCAGTAATCAAGTTATTGTATAGTTATTAATATTTGCTTCAAAATTAAGTCAGTTTCATTGAGAATTTTCATTAAATTAAGCAAACTTTCCTATTGAACGTTGAGAATCCACAGATGACGGCAGCGGGCAGCTGATTCTAGTGTTGCGGAACGCCCGCGGTCAGAGCCGAGAACTGCGCTGCCTAACACTTGAAATGATCGACGACACATCGATATTTGAAAACGGAATCGATGTCCGACGAATCAACACTATCGAAATTAAAAATGTGTTCACAACTCGATTCTCTTGTTGTTTTTGCTCGTTTTATGGTTGTTAAATTATGCGATATATATTAATTTTATAATTAATTTAGTATTTTTCCTTATGTTTACGGCATTTGAGGTATTTTCAAGTATTAAACAGTATTTTTAAAGAATTTCGATGGTCTTTGGCATATTTAAACGATCCTGATACGGTCATATCGTTGGTCATCTTTTGTTTATTTTATTATAATTTCGAACAAAGATCGGCTGGAAATGAGTTTATCCGGAACAGGTAGTGCATCGGCGTTCTCCAGCTCGGACACCGCGGCTCTGGAGAGAAACACGGAGACGGAGGAGGGGGTGACCTTCGAACAAATTTGGAACGAAAATCACAGGAAAGTAAGCTGCGATTGGATTCGCCAAAATGGTTACAAAAGGGTGCGTATAGCGATGCCTCTTTGGTCCCAGAACTAAGAGTATATCCTTAGGTGTGTCTTCAATTCCCGGATGGCTATCTGCCTCACAGCAATGCCATCAGTGTGGCTCTAACCGAGCTGCTGGCATCGGATGACGTGAAAGTCTTTATCCTGGCAGATACTACCTATGGAAGTTGTTGTGTGGATGAGATAGCAGCTGCCCATGTTGAGGCGGATAGTGTGATTCACTTTGGAAATGCCTGTCGCAGTAGGGCCACACGCTTGCCCGTGCTTTACCTTTATCCGCAGATGCCGCTGGATGTGAGTGCTCTTCTTGAAAAATTGCAGACGCTACGTGCAGAGTCTAAGGGGAGAGAAGTGTGCGTCTATTTGGATATTGGCTATCAGAATTTAAATGGAGAAGACCTAAGGCAGCAACTTGAAAATGCCCTACAACCGAAGAATCTTTTACTGAAGCTATTTCCCCCTATTGAGGGAGATGCATCCGCTGACGCTACCAATCTGGAGCGCATATGCATTTTTATTGGTTCGGATAACCAGCGCTTTGCTAACCTATCTCTGAGTGCTCCTGCTGCGATTCAGTGGTATGTATTCGACGGCACTGCTAGCACCCTCAGCTCAAAGAACCCCCTTACGGCTCAATACATCCGCCGTCGCTACTTCCACATCGAAAAGTGCAAGGACGCACAAACGTTGGGTCTAATTGTGGCAACGTTGACGGCCGAAGGCTACTTGGATGTGGTGGCACGTCTGCAGACCATGGCAAAGGGCAGAGGCATTAAAACACAGCTCATATCTGTAGGAAGAATCAACCCGGCCAAACTAGCCAACTTCCTGGAGATCGATTGCTTCGTTTTGATTGGCTGCCCCTTTAATAACATGTACGACTCCAAGGAATACTACAAACCTATTGTTTCCGTCTTCGAAGCAGAGATGGCTCTAAATCCAGCTTGGCACATGAGGTATCCCGAGGCCTATGTCACAGACTTTAAGCAGTTGTTACCGGAAGGTCGCAGCTTCCTGCCCTTCGATGTGGGAGCCATTCCCGAGAACGATGTTAGCTTGGTTAGCGGAAAGCTGAGAGGAGCCGTAAACGAATCGCTGGAAACCGCAGGAGATACCGCCTCCCTGGCCCTGGCTACTCAGGCCAAAATGGCTCTAATGACCACGGACACGGGGCTCTCCTTCGAGGACCGCACCTGGCAGGGATTAGACCCAGCTCTGGGACAAACAGAGCCCGCCCAGCTTCAGCAGGGTCTTTCTGGTATTCCCATCAAGTATACACATCAATAAAGGCCATCACTTCTTAATAACTTGGTATTATCGGTTTACTGATCCTTTGAAGGGCGAAATTTTCTTTTTTGAATTAAACTACATGTCCAACAACGTCGGGGTTCGGTTTGGCCTTCCCTCTTAGACCCTCAACCAGTACATCGAGGAGCGGATTCTGTTGTAGTCGGGCAGGTTCTCAACGGGACCCACGGCGGCGACAGCCGGGCACCGATCATAGATGTACTTCATGGCCACATCACGGACGTTGCCAACGCTCACGGCATCGATGCGCTGCTCCAGCTCGTGCAGTGGGATGCGGCGGTTGTAGCACAGGATCTGGCGGCCGATATCCTCGCAGATGGGCGTGGTGCCATCCAACTGCAGGAGCATGTTTGTCTTCAGCAGATTCTTGGCGCGCTCTACCTCGGCCTCAGTGACCATGGTGCACAGGCGCATCCATTCGCTTTGCACGTTGAACAGCATGTCCTGTAAACGGGTTTATATTTTTTTGTAAATCACTAGCTTCACAATTTTCAGTATTGACAACTCACCTCGCACTGCAGGGGATCGCAGACAAAGTAAATGCCCCAGAGACCAGTGTCCCGGTAGCAGGTGTTGAACGACTGGAAGCTGTGGCAAAGGTCTGCAAGAAAACAATTGGAATCAAGTCCGTAAATACGGGTAATTTCTACCACTGTCTACTAAGACTACTTACTATCCTCAGCGCTGGCACGGGCCAGGTTGGAGGCATTGTTGGCGCCACCACCCTGCGAGCGGTCCCAGGCACCCACCAGAGTGTTGGCCACCATTAGGGGGATGTTGTCCTGGTCGGTCCAGCCGCAGCCTTCGACGGCGATGGCCACATGAGCCAGGGGCAGGGAATCGTCACGGACGCGCACTTCAGAGCCGGTGAAGCGGCAGGGAGTTACCTCCGGGGGCAGAACACTGGCTTCCAGGCCGCCCAAGTTTGAGCCCGCCAGCTTGACCAGATCGTCGTGCTTGACACCGCCGGCGGCAGCCAAAACGATGCGCGAAGCCTTGTAGTGGGTCTGGATGTAGTCGGTCAGATCGGATTTGCCAATTGACCTACAATTTTTAAAAATTATTAAATAAAGTTGGATAGCAATTAAGTTTATACTTACTGAATGTTCTTGGTGGGTCCAAGGATGGTCTGGCCCAGAGGTGTGCCCTGGTAGGCGGTGGCATGCAGGTGATCGAAGACAACCTCCTGCAGGTTGCTTTCCACCTCCTGCATTTCGCGCAGGATCACAGAACGCTCGCGGGCGATCTCCGACTCGCCCAGCTTGGAGTTCTGAATGATGTCCGACAGAATCTCGACAGCCTTTGGAACATCCTTGGACAGACATTTGGCGTAGAACACGGTCTGCTCCCGAGAGGTGTAGGCATTCAAGTGGGCACCCAAGTTCTCGACCTCCAATTCCAGATCGGTCTGGGAGCGCTTGGCGGTGCCCTGAAAAAGTTGTATGCACTCAGTAAGAAATTGATTTTTCGAGGAAATAATCTTCACTCTTACCTTGAAGGCCATATGCTCCAGGAAGTGGGCCACTCCGTTGTTCTTCTCGGTTTCGGAACGGGAGCCAGCGTCGATCCAAAGTCCCACGGTGGCGGTGGAGGCGCCGGAATCCTCGCTAGCCACGCGGAGACCGTTATCCAGCTTGGTCACCTGGGTGGCGGGTATGTTCAGCAAGGTCTTCTGCAGGGTGGCAGCCGACTTGTAGCGCTACAAGTTATGAAATATGGAAAAACTTTCAGTAAAAGTTAAGTAAACCTTACACATAACCTCAAAGTGCATGTCAAGACTTTTCCAAACAAATTTCAAAAGATTTATGCAAATTACATAGGTGGCTTTTGAGGGGCCAGCCTTAAGCGGTGTAATTTTGTTTATTTAAACGCCAATTAACCAGAATCACAATCATTGACAATTTACAATTACGTAATTTAGATCCTGTTGAGCGTAATCAACCGATTGTTTTTCACACTTACCTTGATCATGTCAACGCCACGCACAAAGGTGCGCATATTCTGCGACACTCCAAGGACACGCAACGCCATCGTTCAATTGAATCGTTTAATATTAATAACTAATAAAGTATTAAGACTTTTTCGTCCGCGGCGTTGATGAAAAATCACACACACACCCACGGCAGTCACAACAGCAGAACGTTAAGTTGGTAGCGGTCGAACAGCTGTTCAAAGAACCGAAGGGTGTGCACACACTGTTTTTGGCAAGCAACAAAATTTTCTGTTTCTTAAATTTTCCTCGATCTGTATCGAAATAAGCATTTTATTGTTATTTAACGGACAATTTCGACAGACGTTAGTAGCCTGGCCTGTTTTCTATCAGATGGCGGGTAATTTTTGGCAGAGCTCACATTCGCAACAGTGGATTCTGGACAAACAGGATTTGCTCCGAGAGCGTCAACTCGATTTGCTGGCTTTAAATGAAGACGAATACCAGAAGGTGTTTATATTCTTTGCCAATGTCATCCAGGTGTTGGGCGAGCAGCTCAAGCTGCGGCAACAGGTCATTGCCACAGCCACGGTTTATTTTAAGCGGTTCTACGCCCGAAACTCGCTGAAAAACATCGACCCCCTGCTCCTGGCGCCTACTTGCATTCTGCTGGCATCGAAAGTGGAGGAGTTTGGTGTTATATCCAACTCCCGGCTGATCTCTATTTGCCAGTCGGCCATCAAGACCAAGTTTAGTTATGCATATGCGCAGGAGTTCCCGTATCGCACGAACCACATCCTGGAGTGCGAGTTCTACCTGCTGGAGAACCTCGACTGCTGTCTCATCGTCTACCAGCCGTACAGACCACTGCTGCAGCTGGTCCAGGACATGGGTCAGGAGGACCAGCTGCTCACCCTCAGCTGGCGGATTGTCAATGACTCACTGCGCACCGATGTCTGCCTGCTCTATCCACCATATCAGGTGAGAGTTTCATACTCAAGAAATGCTTGGAACATATACAAATTGATTGGAATCTTTTATTTTCAGATCGCCATTGCCTGCCTGCAGATAGCATGTGTTATCCTACAAAAGGACGCCACCAAACAGTGGTTCGCAGAGTTAAATGTGGATCTGGACAAAGTACAGGAGATTGTGCGGGCCATTGTCAACCTATATGAATTGTGGAAGGACTGGAAGGAGAAGGACGAGATTCAGATGCTGCTGGCCAAGATTCCCAAGCCGAAGCCACCGCCACAGCGATGAGATATTGCACCATATTTCTGTTCTTCTAGATTGTAAAAAGATTACTTAAGTTCATGTCCTCATCTTACGTATTTATGTCGACTTAAAATATCTTTAAGCTACAAAATCTTTTAAACATTAATGCAATTATTATTTTAAATTAAAATCGTATATATCTGAACTGCATTCAATATCCTCACAAATACTTTGCCTGTCCCCGGGAGAATTTGGTGTTAAGTATTTTTGCCTTGTCTACAATCTGCTTGGTTTGATTCTTGTCGATTTTGTTCAGCTTTAAATCCACATCTCTGCTGAAGGGTCTTCGTTCTGGCTTCGACCCAGAGGCAGCTAGTTCCTTTTCCTTTTAAGAAAATCAATTGTAAATTATTTTATGTTCTGTCTTTCTTTGATACCCACCTTCTCCCTCTGTTCCTTCCTTAGCTTTTTCTGGTGCAGCTCCACTAGGGACTCCTCCCGCTTGTGTTTCTTCTTATGCTTCTTGGCCATGCGCTCTTGCTCATCATCTCGCTGCTGTTCATATTTTACTTGGGCCATCTGCTCCATTTCCTTGGAGCTGCAGGCTCTGGGCCCTGCAGCAGCAACCGCCGCCTCACTTTGAGGTGTCTTGGTCCAGGAGGATCGATCGCTGAAATCAGGTCGCTCTTTTCCCTGGTAAAAGGTCCGTTTCATGTTGCCCAAAGCAGCGAGGCCGCTCTTTAGACCCACATCAGGCAGCTCCAGCATCCATTCCTCGCGGACCTCTTGATTCGTAGTGGCACCTAATCCACCACCCTCCAGAGCAGACAGCTTAAGGGCCAGAGCTCGCTCCTCCAACTCTACTTGACTGGCGTTCGGTAGAGGGCCAAAGGTGCCTGCCAGGTCGTCATCATCCGAAACCTTAGCCTTCAATTCAGATTCTGTTTTTGAAGGATTTGACTGGGCAAAATCGCTGGGAAGGATTGGTCCAATCATGGCAGTGGATTCCGGTTTCTCTATAAGGGGCCCAAGGACCACATCCTTCCTTAAATGAGGAGGTAAAACTGGGCCAAAGGCATCTTCACTATTAGAAACTATGTCTGGAATATTGAGCCTAGGAGGTGCTTGAGTATATGACACTATCTGATCCTCCTCGCGTTTGCTGCGTTTCTTATCCTTGTGACGATGCTTCTCCTTTTTGTGCTTTTTAGACTTCCTTTTCTTTGACTTGTCCACATCCTTGTTGTGCTTCTTGTGCTTTCTTTTCCGTTGCCTTTCGTCGCTGGATGAGCTGCTGCTGTCGCTGCCACTATCTTCACTGGACATGATCTGGAAGTCAGAATAAATAAACTGGTTTAAACTTAATAAATAATTATATGAATTAAAAGCCAAGCCCAAGCCGTAGTTTTGGGAACAAGCCCACCAGTTCCATTAAATTTCTCGAAAAGCGCCCAATAAAAGGTTCCCTCAAGAAAACTCATTTCTTTGGCTTGGGCTACGGTTTCTATATTGCAATTAACAATGTTTAGGCTTAAAATTATATAACAAAATGCAGCTGGATGGGCAACTTAGTCGGTAAATGGCAGCCTAAGAGTTATCCCGAATAGGATTCCTAAACAGCAAAGGTTTTCTGAGCCTTTCGGTAGCTATAGACTAAGGATTTTAAAACACCAGCACTGGCAATGTTTTTGATCGATTGCGTGACACTGCTGCGCCATACGATGTCGTTGACCGAGGCCTGCAGCACCTCGGGCAGCTGAGGCACCATGGAGAGATGGTCCACCACCTCGGCGTAGTCGCCGCGACAAGCGGCATTCCGCTCGAGACGCTTCCTCAGTTCCCCGGGCAGTTGGTGCAGGTGCTGAGCCGTAGCTGTCTGGGATTTATCCTGCTCAAATAGTATGGCTGGCCTCCGACTCCCTGGCTCCTGGCCATTCATGTTGACAGCCACGAAGTTGGAGAGTTGTCCCAGAGAAGGTTGGTACAAGGAGAAGAAGTCCCTGATTTGCGGATTAACTATATTGTGTACTTTTTGCTTGTTTTCGCCAAAAATCATTCGGAAATCTCCCTTGTAGCTTAAGCCAGCGATGGTGTGGAATAGCGAGTAAGCAGTGAATTTATCCGGTAAGAGGAGCAGAGCGACTTGGAGTGCCGAAAGCAAATTCCTGTCCAGAGCCGCCTTTAGGGGCGGGTTATCTGCGGGATTCACTAGATCGGTGACCGGTTTATGTAGTCTACCGGCCAGATACAGATGCCGCCAGTGCAGTAGGTCCTCCAGTAACTGCTCTTCCGACACCACACCATACTTGATGGTCAGTCCCAGGTCCGCCAATGGCACCAAAGTGTTGCAATAGACACCTGCACCCAATCGCTCCTGATAGTTGGCCACACAGCGCGGCCCTAGGAGTCGTAGGGCGGAATAATGTTCAGGATGCCGATGCAAGTTCTCTGCATGGAATCCTAGGGCATCCCGCACACAGAAAACCAGATCCACAACTGTGCCTGGAGGCGGACGCTGAATATTTCCGTTGCCTACTTTTTCATAGCCCTCCTGTTGTTTCACGCCGGAGCCGTAGGCAAACATATAGCTGACGCTGCCCAGTGGAAACCGTTTCACCGTTCGCCTGTATAGGTCCAGCATCGTGGGTAGATATCTTTCTACAAGGGAACTTAATTTAGGTTTAATAATTACTTTTTAGCACGTTACTCCGTTTGTTTCTGCTGGAGTCGATTCTTCCTCTTATTAGTCGCTGCTTTTTGCCAGCGAGCTCTGGTGTGTGCACACTGGCGATCAGCTGCTTGAAAATATCAATATATTTGTTTTAAGCATTATGTACGTTAACTTGTAATATTAAATAATTTTATTTCCTTATTTAGAAATTAATAAATATATCCCCAATATATTAAATAAATTTAGATTATAAACAGACCGCAATTTAAAAACGGCAAACCAGTGTTGCAAAGTGTTTTTCAATAAGAAATAAACAGTTGGTTTTGCCGAAAGTCTCTAGTTTAAAATAAATCATTTTTGGCAATGCATTTGCTGATAAAGTACTTATTGTATTCAAATTCAAACCTAGTCGCAGCAGGCTTCATTTATTTGTGTACACTACAAGATCATCATCATGATAAGTTGGACTACAAATTTAAAAAATCGAAACGAGCTCGTTTTTTATTTTGTTATGCGGTCAACCCTATACAGTAGTGCTCTATAGTGTTCAAATTTCGCCGGCGGCAGTGTTGACAATCTCTAAATTCTAGCTGTTGTTATTCCATTCTCGGAAGAAGAAGAGAAAACACGCACATTTTCCACAATCTGATAAAAAAAATTATTAAGGGAAAAAGCACACAAACATTGCACATACATAATAAAAAAATATGCCGCGTCCGCCGAAAAGAAATAACACTGAGAATGAGGCGGAGAAAACTAAGCAGGAGCAGCCGTGCGACCAATCCGAAGACATCGCGGATTTCACAAACGTGGGTTTTCAGTTCCTTCCGCCAACCGTTCATCCTCAATGATTTTCGATTGATATTCGCAGCAAGCTTTCAAGAATGTCGTGGCCGCCACCCGTGCATCGAATGCCTTTCCTCAGGGCCCCACCCGCTCCCTGTATCTCACCTATCCGGGGTTTGCACGTGCCATGGACAACCTGTCCCAGCGTGTGGTGGGGCTGATCGGGAACGTACTGCATGCCAAGGAAGTCAAGGACGACATCAGGAAGTAAGAATATGTGGAATATAAAGAATCAGAGATCAGTTTTCATTTCAAAATCCCCTCTTACAGACGCGCACTGGACGAGCAGTTTGAGCTGGTGCAGGAGTGCAATGACATGATATTTGAGCGTATTACCACAAATTTGGACATTAAGAGCGGCCTGCGCAGAAATCCACAGCAAGTGGTTGAGGCCCAGGTGGATGTCATTAGTAGCAACTCTTCATCAGCAGAAGCATCAACAGGTAGCTCATCTCAAGCCCGGAAACACCGAAGGCGGGTAGCTGGAATAAAACGACACCACAGCGGAACACATTTTCCGCTCGCCTTTTTACGGTCAAAAATATTGTGCGACCACAAACGCAGTTTAAGGAACCAGTGGACAATAGTGCACAGAATCCGTTTTGTCCACGGCTCAAAGAGAAGCCCAACTCGCTGAAGCCGCTGGCACTGTTGGCTGAATACGACGAAGTTGGAAATATTCAGTCTTATCTGCACCCATACGAGTTTGAGCTGCTGAAGTTTGAACCCCCAACGGAGCAGCTGCAGAAACAGAAGCCAATATTGCCATCCCTAATGGCCGACACAGAACTGATGCTGGTAGACACGGTGGAGAAGCTAAAAGTAGCATTGGAGGAGCTGAGTCTGGCCGCGCAGATTGCGATCGATGTGGAGCACCACTCGTACCGCACCTTCATGGGCATTACTTGCCTTGTCCAAATGTCCACACGCTCCAAGGACTATATTTTTGATACCCTTACCCTGCGGGATGAGATGCACATATTGAATCAGGTGCTGACGGATCCTAAGAAGCTAAAGATCCTGCACGGTGCCGACTTGGACATTGAGTGGCTGCAGCGTGACCTATCATTGTATATTGTCAACATGTTCGACACGCACCGGGCAGCGAAAGCCCTAAACATGGCCAAGTTATCGTTGGCATTTCTGTTGAAACACTATCTGGATCTGGATGTGGACAAGAGCCTGCAGCTGGCCGATTGGCGGATGCGACCATTGCCTCAGCAATTGGTCGACTATGCCCGCCAGGATACTCACTTCCTCATTTACGTTTACGAACGGATGACCAACGATCTCCTGCAGCAGCAGGCTGAGCCGGGTCTGTTGAATACCGTATATCAAATGAGCACGGATGTGTGCAAGAAGCGATACAGTAAGCCCCACATCGGGCCGGAATCCCACCTGGATTTGGTGCGAAAGACGAAGCGTTCATTTGACAATCGGCAGCTTTATGCTCTTCGTGGGATCTTTGAGTGGCGGGATGCGACGGCGCGGTCCGAAGACGAGAGTTATGGCTACGTCTTGCCCAATCACATGATGCTTCAGATCGCAGAGAGCTTGCCGCGCGAGATGCAAGGCATCTTGGCTTGCTGCAATCCCATTCCGCCGTTGGTGCGGCAACATCTGCACGCGCTCCATCAGATCGTTCTGAAGGCACGCGATCAGCCGCTGATCAAAGTGAGTTACCAAGCGATTTCAAGCAGCACCTGGAGCATGTCGCTTAACGCTACTGGCTATTCCGAAAATTTTCCATTATCCATTAATTGTAATTAATGTTGAAATGAAGAGGCATTACCTCCGACAATACCGATTGATTCAGTTTATTACACATCCTTCCCACAGGCAGTATAACAAAATCAGTTCAAAAAGAAAAGCCAAATCTATCACAGCAAAGTTTAATAATTAGATAGTAGGCTTGTGCGTTCATTGCTCATTTATCTATTCACAAGAGGTCTTAGCCTAAGACAAGATGCTTAACTCTATACATTTCAATTTCCATATGAAGTTAGAATGAAATTTTCGGTGCAAACCAAGCATGTTTATATATATTAAAGATAACATTTTAGGGTCTCTGTTTAGTGTCATAGTCTCTTAACCATGCTGTATACTTACTATTTCAGCCAATTTCGGAGGCCCGCAGCAGCACTCAGGCATCATTGCCGCCCTCCACAAAAGATTTCGGCAGCAAACTCTACTGTCCGCACGATTTTTCGCATCAGGAGGAGGTTCGTGACGATCTGCCTACACTGCTTAAACGTAGCTCCGTGGGAAAACTCCAGCTGGTCCGGCAAGAGGTTATTACCAAGGAAAATCTATTTGTTCCACCGGCAATGTCTCTATTCGACAAGCCACCGAAACCCACTCAAGAGGAAGAACTTCGTTGGGCCCATCTGCGCAAGGAGAGCCAGATGCTTCGCATGCCCTACAAGCGGTACTTGGCCATCCTGCCATTAATGGAAAAGCTAAAGGCTGACCAGATTGCCCGGGAGCGTAGTGAACAGCTCAAAAGGCGTCTGTGTCCGACAGAACCACCGCCGGCGCAAAATATCAAACTTGATGCCGCACCTGCTGTCAAAGAAGACGTGGAGGATCCCATTTACTCCCTGCCTCTCAAGGAACAACTCAAACGAAAGCACGCAGCAAATCGAAAACCAGACTCAGCGGATCAGCAGCCAACCACCAGCAAAAGAGCACGAAAGGATGAGAATACACATCCCATTAAACTTGAACATGCTGATTCAGCTACAAAACCCGCCGAAAGCGACGACGAGGTCGTGGAGACGCCCATTGAAAGACAACCCGCTGAGGAGCCGAAACCACCATCCAGAAAAGAAAAACGCAAAGAGAAGCGCAGGCAATTTCAGCGAAGGAATCGAGCAAATCATTCTCAAAGCTCCAACCAGCAGGTGCCGCAGCCCAAGATTAAGGTCCAAGGCGGCAACTTTGACTACAAGAACGTGGACTTCCGGCAGTTTAAGGGCGGAGCTCAAAGAGCCCGCGGCACGGAGATCAAGCAGCAAATGCGCGGAAAGGTAAGTTTCAGCATTAAATATTCTTTGATCTTAAAATATGAAATATATATATTTTTTTAAACAATATTGTACTTATCGTTTTCCAGAACCGCCCGAACAACCGCAACATTAAGCAGTTTAATAAGCTCTTTACATTTAGCAATGTAAAGCCAGAGGGGAAAAAATAAACTGGAACTCTGACAAGTTATCCGAAAGGATATGATAGGTTCAAAAGTTCAAATTGCAGTTGAGGTCAATAGTGAAGTTGATTTGACATTTATTTTGAATTATTTTTACACGTTTTTTCGTTACAAAAATATACCCTTCAATTTTGAAAATATTTTCCTATAATATACCTATTAATTAACAACGATATCTAAAATTAGGCTATCGGATATGTTTTTAAGGTTCGGTTTACATTTTGATCGAGCTTGGACTGACATAATATCGATTTCCAATGAAAAATAATGTAAACAAAAATATAGAAATATTTGAAAAACTATTTCGTATTAAATTTAATTTTTTTTAGGAAATATGCGAGCTGACAATTTGTTAAATTATGTATAGCGCTGTCTTAACTTTTTAATTATTTCATATATATGGGGAAAAAGTTTACCATTAAGACGTATGGATGCATCTACATTATATATCGACTAAAATAGCTCTCACTATCTTACCAAAAATATCGTCGATTTGCACCTTATATTTTGAAAATATTAATTTACACATCAACTTTCACGACATATATTGATACAGCAGCAATATATCGATATGTTCTGTCAAACCTTAAAAACTAATTAAGTTCTATAAGGAGGCAAAGAAAACGTATTTAAACTAAAGGGAAAGATCTAAACGGTGACAGCCATAAAAAAAAGAAAATTAACTAATATTATTGGATTAGTTTCTCTATCTAACTTTAGCTAACTTCCTAAATAGGATGTGGAAAGTGAGAACAGGAAGATCCTATCCTTTTGGCTCTAGTTTCAGCCTGATCCTTTTGGGGAATCTTAAAGAGTTTTGAACATTTTTTCGCCCTCAATGTCCATACAGTGCTCCACAACCGCATACACAACCAGGAGCCTTCGTTCAATTCCCTTTTTATGCTTTTCCGTTATTAAGGGATACAGTGCATCTTGTTTTGACAGCCGATCGACAATTTCAGTCAACACGCCGCCCGAGAAGACCTGAAGGCGATCCCATGTAGACTTTCGCAGGCTGAAAATTTAAATCAAGTAATTTCTAGAATAAAGAGCAGTTTATAAAGCTGCAAATATTCTTACAGGCAGCATTGGTAGAGGGGCGCCAGGATATCCAAATGGTCCTTGTTCGGATTACCAAAGGCCTTGCCATTGTCGATGAGAACCACGCGCTCTTCTCGCGTCTCGTAGTGGTGGCGATCACCATTCTGAATCAGATAGTCAAAGATGGCCACATCTATGAGATCCAACAGGCGGATAGTCTCCATTTTGTTCTTTAGAGACCTAAAGGATAAATAAGATTACATGTTGAGGTAAGTTCTTCTAACTCTGGAAGTCACCTACTTGCAATAGGTCATATCATCCTCCCAAGGCGCCCGCTTGTCGTCTTTGTAGGTACGCTGCCAAGGAGATCGCCGCTTGGCCAACGTTCCCGGCACAATGTGAATAAGTACGCCTTCGATGTTGTGCCTGTCGTCGCCGCAGACAGTCTCCTCTTCATTGCAGTAGTGACACTTTCCGTACAAGCAATATCTCTCCTTGCCATCCTCGTCCGTTTCTATGCTGATGGTTTGCTGCAATTCTGGGTCTCCGTTGGCATAGATCTCCCTCTTTAGGTTCACAACTCGACCCACAACGATGGGAGTCCATCGCAGGTCGAGTACGGCGCCCAGATAGAAGGCATACACCTCAGCCGTGTGCCGATCCTTGCCACTGTACACCATTCCCTCGATTACCTCATCCCTCGGATACCACTGCGGCTTGAAGATCACCTTTTGCTGCTGAGCCAGTCGCACCAGAAGCTTTAGCTGTGTGCCTCGCGCCAGGTTGCTTACTCGTGTGATCGGCTCGCGGCGCAACGTTTCCAAAAGCTGACCCATCGAGGAGTCGTACAGAGGATACACCTCGTTCTCTTGCGGCCACTAAGGAGAAACCACTGATTAGAAATTCTGAGTACCTAGTTACCGCGTTGACTCACCCAATTGGCAATGTCCCAGAGGACGCTGGCATTCTCGTATGGCGCCGCCTTGTAGTTCTTGAGCAGCTTATTCCGGAACATGAAGAAGCGGGGATTACGATTGAGGTAGGCGGGCTTCAGGTGCCGCATTTTGTGTCGGATCATGTTCTCCAGCGCTCGCACGCTGGCCAAATGACCCTCCTCGGCACTCAGATAGTACATGAAATAAAAGTTTACACCCAAGACCAGTCCTAGGAGACTGGCCACGATGCCTGCTATAATTACGTTCCGCTTATTCATCCTGTTGCAGCCTGTAGCCTGGGGCACTATCACCTATTTTTAATATTACGTATACGCCGCGGCCGCCGCAACACTGGCAAATTGCTCAATTCTAGCCGAAATGTTGTTGATATGACCGGGCCGCTGCAGCCACAGTGGCATGCTTATGTTGCTGTTGTTGTTGTAGTTGCTGCTGGGATACTAGCAATTTGTGCCTCTTGCTCTGGCAATTGTTGTAGCTTATGCTGATGATGTTGCCCTTCCTTTTTTGCTTTATTTTGTTTTCCTTTTTTTTTTGGCAGACATCGGCCGACAACTGTTCGCATCAGTCCATTGTTGTGCAAATTAATTGTGGCTGCATCTGTAACGGTGTGTAAGTAGTGTATTAATTAAGTTGTCAGTATTGTGCGAGAGTCCTGTTCCGGGTTCCGATTGGCTCTGATTTCTCACCTACAACATCAAGTTAATCAGATCGTAATGGTTGTTTACAAGTTCTGATCCCATTAGTCGCCGCATTCTTGGCATTGCCCCCTCTTGAATCTTGTACATATCTATTATTTAGTATCTTTTCCGGGTGTGGCTGTTGTCTTTCCAACTTGTGACAATACAAGAATTTAATAAGGTTTCGTTTTTGAATTGCCTGGAAAAAAGGTAAAAACTGAATAAGAGCTTTTTCACAATATTGGTTTTATAAACGTAAATAAATAGATTTAGTATATGATTATTTTATTAGTTCATTGACTCGACATACATACCTTGATAAAAAACTGTTATCAATAACTCTTTTTAGCAATATTCCTCTTTCCACCAATACACTTTATTTCGTTGCAAAAATATTTATAATTTGCAATGGAATTTATAGTTTACGAAGAAGTCGCCAAATAGCTTTGAAAAGAAATGTTGGATCCTTAACGATTTGGGACAGATATAAAGAAACATACCAAGGAATGTCCTACTTCGGGATTTTAAAGATATCCGACCGATCCTTCGGCTGAGCGATGTGTCTAAAGGTTTGCATAAAGTCGTTACCCATTTGGGATTTCTTGATTTCTTGGCAACAGCGGATTGCTTAATAAATCGTGTGCTTCCTCTTCGGCTGCTTCTTTGAATTAATTGGCCGCAGCCTCATTTTTGGCCAACATCCACAGCCACACGCACTCGAAACCGGGAAACTTCTGCGACGGCCGAATAAAACAAAGCATTTTACTGCCTCACTTTGTTCGCCACTCTTGTTTGGTCAATTGGCTATATAAATAGCATTTGTTTATGTCGGTGAAAATTCGGGAAAAACGTGCAGCCGGCGTAGACGAAACAGAAGCGAATGAGAACAAAACCATAACAGAAGCGAAGAATCACCGAAGTAAACAAAAAGCAGCTGATGCCAACACAGCTGTTAACCTCAATGCAGTCTTCCGGCAACGTCTGGCAACGCTGACAAAGTTACTGTTGTGCGCGGTACTTAAAAAAAGAGAAAATGAAGGTAGTGGGCGAAAGTTAATCAAAAAAGCCGGCTAAAGGTCACGACTGAAACTGAACCAGGAGTGAGAAAGGTAAGTGCTCCTTTGACGCAATAACTCCTCACACGCATGCCTTTGTACATCTGTTATTATTAACTCCCACACATTCAAGCGACACAGATGAGCCAATTCGTGAAAACTGAAAAAAAGGATGGTTCATTTCGAACGATTTGGGGATTTTGGGGATTATTAGTTGAACTTTTCAAGTAAAATAACTTGTTTTCTGATTACATTTTGTATATAAATGATGGACGACACCAATTTTTAAAAACAAATAAAAGTTTATTAAATTTAAGCTTGAAGTTGATACCTTCATGTAAAATCTTTTTTATGTAACAAGCAAGAACTAGATTCTGATATATTAACGTTTAAAGAAATAAAATAAGTTGAGTTGCATTTAACATTTATTAAAGAAAATCAATGGATCAAGAAAAGTTGCACCTTTGACCCACTTTTTTCACATGTGTACAGTTATGTTGGAGTTAGCTTAGTTATTTTTTCCATCAATGGGGAAAGGCTGGGAGGGTTCACCTTGCCTTGGGGCTCCCAATGGAACTGAAGGCATAAACTGCGCCCACTCTACGCTCAGGATAACGGATAAAAAGGGGGAAAAGGAAAGGAAGGAAAAAGGGAAACCCCCAGCCACATATGGCGCAAAATAAACCGACAAATGATAACGGCACTCGAGCAAACAACAATAAAGGATGAAAAGCACGAAAATCGAGTAAATGAACGAAATAATGGTGTTGGGAATGTACAACAAGTAACAAAACGCACGAACCTACATCTGTTTGTACAGCCTCTTTTACCCCTTTTTCACACCCAGAAAAACGCTTTTCCTGCCTAAGGGAAATTCAAATGCCTGCAGCATCCGCCGCCGACGTCGCCACCACATTTGTTGTTGGTCTGGGAAATTCGAACGAAGAAAGTAACACCCTTGGTGTCGACGCATTACGATTACAGTGAAATGTAATCCACTTGAAAAAATCTAGAAACATATTTAATATAATTTAGTAAAATAAACTTCTATATTCACTTTAAGGATATAAAAATTAAGTTAACAAGTTATTTCATTTAACTTTGGTAATATAAGATAATATATTCAGTTAAAGGGTACAGAGAGTATGGTAATAAGAGAATGTTTGTGTCATTGTTATGTAAACTAAGAAACACTATTAATAGTTTTTTTTTTACAGCAATTTATTTTTAAATAGTTGATTCTTTTTTAAACCAATTTTATTATTCTTACTCTTACAAATAGAATAAGTATCAAATTATTTCAAGTGTCCTTGTTGTGTACGAGTAAAAGCGTTCCAGAAAATGTTCGACTCGCTTTGTTTTCATTGTTTTGTGGGTTTGTTCGTTTCTTTGTTTGTTTGTTTGTCGCGACGCAGGGGTGCATAACACATATTGAAGTAAGCCAATTTCTCTGAGGCTGGTTTGTGTGGGCCAAGTTAATCATAAATGAACTTTCTGAACGGCTGAAGCCGCTTAAAGCCGCTACTCTCAGACTTAAAATATATTTGTTCAGGTAATTCCTTTTAATTTAAAAAGGATTCTGGTTGAAATATTTACGCCAATATTTTAATGGTTTTTATTCAAACATTAATTATGAAAGTTCTGTGATATCACCTCACTCCCTTCTCAGTATTTTTATTCAATTATACAATTTCAATTAGAATTTGAATGACCGAAATAAAGATATTACCACATGTGTATGTATGTACAGACAACCATACATAAATTTCCAATTAATATCAATTAGAAAAACATTCTAACACCAACGGCTGAGCCGCGTGAAATAGAACGAACGAGCAAATAAACAAAACTAAACAATTCAATTAGGACTCAAATTGTGAAAAGCCAAAGGAAATACAGTATTTAGTAATTGGGTCAGATGCCGTTAACGAGCAACGACAATTACACAGAAGGCAACAGCCCAAAGCTGACGGCAAACACGAAGGAATCAATTTCGATCCCGAGAAGGGGCCTTCCCCCTTGACGTGTGCGCACAATAAGGAGCTCTGGAAATAAGATAGTGTAGAATGCGAGAATACGAACGAAAAATGTTTTCATTTTATCGAAAATTAATAACATAAAGTATTTAGAAGAATTTTAATTCATTTATTCAGACATTGAACATATAAAAAAGCTGTCAAAAATGTTTTCTTTTGTTATTTAAAAGGATTTTGTTAATTTAAAAGTGACCAACTAAAAAATATCCAAATACTGTAAAAGTTCAATATAAAAAAACTATCAAAATTAAGCTTTAAGTTTTCATTGAGCTCTATAATAGGTAATTAATTAAAATAAAATAATTACGTATACGCAACGTTGCATCTTTCACGCGTTCCAAGAAAAGTTTAAATTGCTTTTGAGATCTTCAACACAATTAAATAAATTTTACCAAGTGTTGAACCCCTTACGACTGCTTGAAAATTGTTAAATTAACACGAAATCTGCCCAAACATAATTATTATTTTTATTGCTGCTTTACACCGCAGGTCAAAAGCGAGACTGCAAAAAAATCAATTAATTCATACACCAGCGCAGATGGCAAAGTCACATCTCGGGTGTTAATTGCTCATGTGTATCCCTGAAGTTGCGCTCGAATCCTGTTTTTTGTGTGTGTTCCATTTTCGTTTGTCCTCTTGTCGTTGGCGGCGTTTTCCTTAATGGCTGCCGCTCTTATCTGGCCTCTCATGCGTTTTGTAATTAATTGGCAGACATTTTACTGCCGTGGACCGTTGTCATAGGTCGCTCAGCACGTGTTGGGGCGGAATGGCATAAAAGGGGGGTGGTTCGACCTAATGATTAATTACAATTTAATTTGTTTGTCATTTAGACGAGCTTCAACAGCGGAGAGGGAATTTGCGCGCCCTGCGACGCTGCGATGACAAAACGTCGACTGAGCTTCCCAAAAGAAATAATTTAAATTTCAACATTTGTTTGCCAGCAATATTTCGTGCAATAAATCTGCCTGCTTCTTAAATTTATTTTGCTTCTAGAAAATTTAATTGAATTTATTCCACAACGCCGTGGGATCCATCTAATTAATTGTTTTTTTGTTTTGTTCCCTTGTTCTGATTCGTTTCCATATTATTTCGGTTTGTTTTTTGTTTGCGAGTAAGCGTTTGTTTGTTGTCTGACTGCCAAAAATATGCAAATTCGGGCTTATGAAAATGCCTAATGAGTCGGCCTAGGAATTATGAAAACAGAAAGGAGAGAAAAGCTATTGTAAATTAAAAATAATAAAATAGGGCCCGAAGACATGTTAGCTGTAAATAAAATGTTTTTAACGAAAACAAACTCTTAATCAGGTTTGCTAGACAAATCACTAGAAGTTTTAAAAGTCCTAGAACTAGTAATAATAAAGGCTTCAAAGTTCCACACCGTACAAATTGTATTTATTGTAGTAATTTTAAGAAAAATGTCAGAATAGAATACTTTACTTTCTTACAACGCTTGAGTAAATGTTAGGGTCCTTGATTTTTTCCGATTTTGTTGTGATTTCTTTCCGGCTTTAAGACAACTTTAGGTCGTCCCGCCAACGTATTATTTTTTATGTCGTTTTTCTTCTTTCGCTGGTGCAACAAAAGGACATGAAAAATGAGGTACAATTTGGGCGCCCAACATGAAATTAACTCATTCGTTGTGGCCTAGAATAACAAAAGACACTCGCACACACTCAAACATACAATCACTTACATACTCAAACACATAAATAATTACACGTAGAAAATTAAAGAGTGGAAAAGGTTTTTTGCTTTCTTGATGACGCAAATTGTAACTAACTATTCGGTAAATTTATTTCATTATAATTTTAAAATGGATCCAATTGGAACACGCTGATTATTAAAGCGACGTCTGAAAATGATAAATTATTTATTTATTTCCGATGGCAAGGTTTATATACAAGACAAACTAAAATCAAAATAAATGGTAAATAAATATATCTCTTAATATTTAAGATTGTTCCCAGTGCATACACATACATAGACGGCACTGAGGTCAAGCAACGTCATTTTTCAGACGGCCAAACAAAAAAAGGGAGAAAAGAGGCGAAAAAAAGGGAAAATAACTCGGCTTCAAGTGCCGTCACACCGAGAATTCATTGTGGCCGAGTGTTGGTGTGTGTGTTTGCAGTGTGTGCGAGCCAAAACACATGCTCGGCAAGGAGGAAAATATAAACAAACGCCCTCGTAAAAGCTCCCTTTTTCTTGTGGCCCCGAAACTATGCCAACGGGAGCTTTTTGCGTAAAGCTAAGGAGCAACAGTTCCCCCGCGGGAGAGGGAGTGAGCGAAAGGCAGCACGGCAACACTGGAATTACGCTAACATCCGCTCTCTCTCTCTTAGTTTCTTTGTTTGCTGTGGGTGTTCTCTCGTTTGAGCTCTCTCCCGTTCAATGGCGGAGCAACAGTTATGATTCCTCTCTCACCCTTCAGGTCCCCGGACAAAGTTGTTGTTGCTTTTCCTAATACCCTGCCACCTGAAGGTTGTTGTTGTTGCCGCGGAATTTGAGTCAATGGAGCAGAGAATGTACTCAGAGAAAAAACAAATTTTTGTAATTGAATTTTAAATGTTGGTCAACTAGTCGTATACGCAATTTTTCAAAAATGCTATCTAAGACTATTTTTATACTTGGGGTTTAACATGAATTTATTAAAACGTCTTTAAAGGCTCTCTTTGTCGGGAAAACCCTATATTTTTTTAAGGAAAAAAATAAGAATGATAAAGTAAGACCTAAAATTGGATTATGTTATAAATAAATGGAAATTTAATCATACATATTGAACAGA